AATGAGACTTAGAGACCCTTTGCTGAGACCCTTTTGTTTCCTTCTGATTCAAACGGGACTGCCGGGGTTGGAGGTGGGGCATAGCCAACCTATGTGTATGCCTTGGGGTCAATGCAGAAAGAGTTGATCTAGTAATCTGCTTCTGTGTGGGCAGACCTTGACCTTGCTAGGCAGTGAGCAGCAAGGGAGGCTCCAGGAGGAGCGAGAGGGCAGGGCAGTAAGGTGGGAGAAGTCAGGGAGGACTCCCTGTAGGAGATCTGAGACCCTGGAGCAAACAGGAACTGCTTTTGTTGCATTTTCTGGGGGCCTTAGGGACACTTCTCAGTTGGACCTCAGTTTCCTTGTCTCTAAGGGGGATTGGCCCTGCCCTGCTTTGCCCCTTGTGCTGCGCGGGCTGGGTGGCTATAACAGTGACATCAGCCAAGTCGGCTTGTAAGCGTGTCCACGGAGCCACAGCGGTGGTCTGGCTAGTGGAGGGAGCTGGCTGGGGACCTTCAGTGGATGGTAGCAGCCTGAGGCCAGGCCTGGAAATGTCCCTCGGCTGAGCAGGAGCCACCAGGTCCCCATGTCAGAGGCAGTGGAGCCTCTCAGGAGTGACTGGTAGAAGCAGCGTCGAGGTCTGGCTGTGAAAGAAACCAGACTTGCCTTATCTGCCTTCCTTTCCCAGACACACTGTGTGATAAGAGCGCTAAATGCTTTGGGGAGAAGTTTGAAATGAGTCCTTAAAACCATGGTGTGAGCCAGGAGGAGGCAGAGGGTGGGGCAGCCAAGGTTGGGGCTCAGGCTGGGGACTCTGGCCGCACACACGTCGGGGGCTGTGCTGGGCACACAGACACTCCCCTGTCCATGCATGAGCCCGCGTGGGGTCTGGCAGCACCAGGGATACCCAGGCTAAGATTCCTGCCCTCACAACAGTGTATGCAAACTTCCCCAGGGAGAAGGTCGCCGAACTCGGACTTACCCATCCCCTGTCTCTCTTCCTGACATTCCCAGGCCTGGGCTCCCTCCTGGAAGCCTCCCCCTTCTTAAAACGAAGCCCAGATCTTGGAGATGCTCCAGCCAGCTCCCCAGGACCCATCCCGTCCTCTGGGCTCTCCAGTGATTTTATCTTGGCCCCAGCACACAGAGGTCCCCTCCCCTGGTTCCCTTCCTTGTGGCTGAAGCGAAGGAAGGCGCTGGGGGCCCTGTGGGTGGGCTTGGGGACCAGGGCCCAGCCCAGCTCTGTGGTTTGAGGCTCAGGTCGCGCTGGGGTGGTTACCCCACTCTCCCCACCCCACTCCCTCGGCCTCACAAGTTTGTCTTGAGTTGTCCTTTCTGCTCTTGGAAGGCATGAGTGCTTTGTGGACAGAGAAACCCCAACCTGACTCTACTGCTGCCTTTAGTCATGGCGTAAGGTTAGGGGTGACCCCTAAGCTTGTGTGGTGGGTTGGAGGGTGGTCTCTGAATAGCCCTTTGGTCTGAGGCGTGGGTAGAGCCCCTTCCTTAGGTGAGCAGGAGTTCCAGTCCCCGGGCGGGGGAGGGGGGAGGGAGGGGCAGGGGGAACCTGGGACTCCAGCCTCCCAGCGTGACTCAGCCCCATCCCCTTTCCCTCCTGCTTTGCTGGAGACCCCTTGGCAGGAATCCACCTGGTCCAGAACCTACTTCCTGTCTGATTGTGGCTTCTGGTCCCCTGGGGCATCCTGGGGGGTGAGGGGCCTGCAACGTGCAGAGGCAGGCGTCCCCCAGAGAGACCCACATTCCTGGGAAAATGGTTTCACCATCAGCGCATCCCTCCAGGCCCCTTTGTAGACCTGTGGAACCTGTTGGACCAGAGTATGGGGAGGGTGGGGGGGGGACACGGCCCCCAGAGCTGAGAGCCTGGTGACAGGTGGGGTCCGGGATTCAGGATAGACTGGCTGTTTCTCCTCCCTCTGCTGAGCTGGCTTCAGGTTAGGCTCGTTGTGGCTCTAGGGGTGCCCTCCACACTCTGAGGCACAAGGAGATGCCCCCCCAACTTCTCCACTGTTCCTGCCAGTGAGCCTAGCCCCTCCCGCTCCGTCCTTCTGAATTGGAAGTTGAAGGGTCACCTCCTCTCCAATCCCAGTCTCTCCCCGGGCTCAAGTCCCATCCTCTCCTTTCTCCCCAGGGTCCCAACCTCTCCGAGGGTCCCTCCCCCTGCTGGAGCCTTTCTCTCAGCCTGTAAATGTTGTCCTACCTCTTCCATCAGGGAGAGTCCCTCAGACCCCTTCCCCGCCTCTCATGGCTGCTGTTCCCACCAACCCCCCCCCCAGGTCACGTCAGCCAGGCCCAAAGCCCCTGCCTAGAAGAGGTGTGATGTCTCCCCCTCCTCCACATTCACTTACTCCCTGCAAACCTTGGAATCCCTTTTGCCCTCCACTCCTTCACTGCCCCATCTCTCCTCCCTGGGTCCCTACCCAGGACTAGGGAGATACCTGGCCATCTGGTCACCCCCTTCCATGCCACTGTCTCACTGGCTTCTGAAGGATGTTCCTAAAACACAGAACTGATGACCTTCAGTTCCTTCTTGTCCAAGGAGTCAAGTCCAAGTTCTCCCGGCTTGGACTGTGTGCTGCTTCTCTAGCCACTGGATCTGAATGCTTTGTGTCTTGATGTCTCTGGCAGACACTAGTCTCTCTGCGGGGCATGGCTTCCGCTCCTGGTCTGCCTGGCTCACTCCAGGCTGGCTCAGCCCCCCTGCTTCTGGGAGGCTCTCTCTGACCTCCTGGGCTGGGTGAAGTCTGTCTCAGGCATGTACCCTCATGCTAGCCTATCACCGCCTGCTCAAGGTGCTGGCTCCCCCGCCAGACTGATTCCCCCATGGATGGGTAGGGTGGCATGGATGAACCGTCGGGGGCCAGGGATGGGCTTTTGTCATTTGGGAACCTAGCAGACAAGGGGACCCATCTGGAGATGTGTGGCCATCTAAGGAGAGGTATGGCCAACCTCTCAAGCCACCCGTTGTGGGCTCTTGGTAGAGCCCCTTCTAAGCGTCTGCCCCTGTACCCCTCTTGCCAGGCAGACCCAACAGCCTCACAGATGCTCTGAGCCCTCCACCCTCCTTCACTGTGAGAAAGGCAGGGCCAAGGCCTCCTGGCCACATCTCAGCTGCTTCTCACTGTGTAACCTTGGACAGCACACATCCCCTTTCTGAGCCCTCGGGTCCCATCTGTAAAATGGGTGTGGTAGCACCTACCTGGGAGGACAGAGCATGTTGGTTTAAGTGGCATGGCCAGAAAAGGGGTTCAAGTGGTAGATGCTTTTTTAGCCTACTCCCTTATCTCAAACAGGGAAACTGAGACCCAGGAGGGGTTACCCTGGGGCCGGCGGCACAGCCAGGATGGCGGGTTCCCCTGCTGGCCCTTGGTCTGGGCTCTCTCTCTGCATGACACTCCCCACAGCTGTAGCCCAGAGGGGATGGAGGGACCTCAAGGAGCCAGTTAGGCCCCAGTACTCTGGACATCCAGGCAAATCTTGTGACCCTGCATCCAGTGGAAAGGCTTCACCATTGGGCTCCAAGGCCCATTGTTGGCCCAGGAAGACCGTGTGTTGCTAGGTTAGGCTGCTCCCACACAGGCAGCCCCTGGCATGAGCAGGGGCCAGGCTCTCCCAGCCCCCGTCACCCGGTCCAGCCTTGGGGAGGGGTAGGGCCACCTTGAACAGTCCTTTGGAACTCTGTCTTGACTTTTGTCCCTAGCATGTTGGGGGTCTGGAATGTGTCCAGTGGAGCCATTTGCCTCCAGGATCTCAGGGGCTCAACTGCTGGGGCTGAGTCCCCCTAGCCTCCTGGGTGACCCTGGCCCATCACCATACCTCCTGGGGTCTGTCTCTCTCAAAAGCATTTGCCCTGCTCGAACCAGGGGGAGCTTTGGGAAGTGATTTCAGGGGTGGGCCCCAGCTGACTGGGCCTCCGCGGTGTTTGTCTCTCTGTAGAGTGTGGATCACCATGACGAAGCCAGCGAGGCGGAGATGAGGAGAACCTCAAACTCGTACATCGTGGAGAACGGGCACCAGCCTGGGGCAGGTGGGGGCTGATGGCCCAGGAGGGCTGGCTGGAGGAATACCCGCAGGGACTGGGGAATTGTCCAAGCACTGAGCAGGGTAGAGAGTGGACTGACAGGCAACTATTTCTTGAACTCTCTATTAGGGAAAGTTGGAGCAGGCATCACCTCTGGTTGGAGCAGTGAGACTTCCCCAGTAGGGGGAGATGAGGGAGGCAGGAGTGGTCAGGGAGGCCTTCCTGGAGGAGGTGAGAGGAGAGTTCACAGAGGCTGGAGTCCTCCTGGGTGGTTCTGAGGCCCCTGTCAATGCCATGGCTGAAACCCCCCAACCCCTGCTGGTCACCTGTTCCAGGTCTGGGTGATGGGCCCCCTGAAGCCGCCCAAACCATCCCAACACCAGAGCCCCTCAAGCCTCGCCCTGTGAGTCTCTCCTTGCAGCAGCCTCACCAGCCAGTCACAGCCATCACACGAGTCTCTGAGAAGTTCTCTGGGGAGACCTCAGCCACAGCTCTCTCGCCCACGTCTGCTGCCATCCTGGGGGGCCTCAGCTCAAGCCCCAGCGAGGCCACCACATCCTGGACTCCCAGTCCCAGTGGTAGGAGCAGGAGACCATGACCTCAAAATGGGAGGGAGGGCAGGGGCTCGGGGTGGTTTGCAAGAGACTCAGAAAACCTGGGGCCGGGCCCTACCCGCTCTGCCCGTCACTGCCACCCCCATCCCCAGCTCACCTGCTCCATCAGATGGGGCCCACCTTTCCTGGCTCCTCTCCCAGAGATGCTGTGAAGTAGCCTCATCCTGCGGGGTACGACCATGGCTTTTACTGCAGATCAAGGCTGTGGTTAGAAGGTGGCTGCCTGCCCTGCACACTTTGTGTGTAACAGACCTGGAGTGGTCCCCCTGGGGCTGTCTTGGACCTGTGATCAGGCTCCAGTGCTGTGTCCTGGGGTCGGGCTGTGTGGATTTCCAGAATGAGGACTTGGTAACATGGTATCTACTGGATATGCAGCACAGGAGGCCCTGGGCTCTGTGCTCTCAAATGCAGTGAGGAGTACTTTAAAGGACCTCTTTTATGTCATTGCTCTATGTTCCAGCATCCTTTCTCCTCAACTGTTGGCCCAGGCAGGGTCAGCTTAGCCCAGAGGTCCTGCCAGTGCCCAAAGCTGGGTGAATAGCTCAGGGCAGGGTCAAAGGATGGGAGGCAGGCAGTGGTGGCCCTCCCCAAGGCCAGGGTTTGTTATTTCTCTCCCTCCCTTTGTCCCACAGAGAAGAATTCTTCCTTCCCACGGTCTTTGTCCAGCTCTGGCTATGGGGGGGTGACGGCCAGCAGGAATGATAACAGGTGAGTCAGGGCCCCTGTTCCCGGTAGCAGGGTCGTCACTCCCCAGGAAGTGTCTGGGCTTGGCCTTGGACCCAGGCTACCCAGGCCCCTGCACGGAGCTCCCAGTGCCAACCCCAGGAGGAGGCACCTTCCTTGGCTTGGTGCCTCTGGAGAACTAAGGCAGCGGTGTCGCTGGGTGGGGTTTGAGAGGAGAAATGAGGCAGCGAAGCTTGGTAGAGAGTTTTGTTTAGAGCAATACGGCGGAGGGCTGGTTTCTTTAAGGATCATTCAAAGCAAGTCTGTCCAAAGATTGGAGAGAGTTTCTCAGTCTCCACAGGATGGATCTTCAGCCATCCTGGCTAGGCTCCCTCTGAGCTGGGGGCTTCCTGCTTGTGGACTGAGAAGTTACCTGGAGAGGCCCTTACCCTGGGGGAGGCCTGTGGGGGCTTCTCTGTGTTACAGGCTGCCTCCTGGCCTCTGGTTGTCCCCATGCGCTGCCCCCAGGCCCTCTGGACTGTGATCGGAGCTGGGTGTTGGGTGGGGGCTGGCTTGGCTTTTTTCTCCCCCTCTTAATAATAAAAGAAGAATTGTAACTTTCTGACAAACTGTTTTAGGGGGGAAACAGAGGGAATCTTATTTAGTGGTGGCCAGGAGGGGGCCTGATCCTGGTGGGGCTGGTTCTGGGTGCTTGTCCTGCCAGGAGGATGCCCCTGCCCACCGCAGGCGTGGACACCTGCCGAGGGGCGATTATGTGCAGAGAGGGGGCCCACTGCTAGCCAGGCCGGCCTCAGACAGCAGCTCAGTTCCAAAAACCTGCGGAACTGGTTGGGGGCTGGAACAGGGGTGCTTCCTCTCTGCCTGTAGCCCAGCCGCTTCCTCATTTCACATTCAGTGGGGTAGAGGCCCGGGGCCTGTGTGAGCTAGTGATGGCCAGATCTGTGCTCCTGACTAGGTGGTTCTCTCCTCAGCCCACATCGGGTGACGCCACCCCAGTCGCCCCCCTCCCTGCAGTCACCAGCCACGACTCAGGCCCATCGGCAGGGGGAGCATCGCCGGGAGCTGGTGCGGTCACAGACGCTGCCCCGCACCTCGGGGGCACAGGCCCGGAAGGCATTGTTTGAGAAATGGGAGCAGGACACAGGAGCCGGCAAGTATGGATGCTCTTAGCACCCTCCCAGACCTGTCTGGGCCCCCAAAGAAAGCCTGAGCCCAGACTGGGGTCAGGCAGGCAGAGCAAAGCTGGCCCTGTCCTGTTCCCCCGAGGGCAGTTCCCCAAGATGTGACCTCTCAGGCAAGACATAGGTCAGGGCTGGCTACAGGGCCGGCTGAGGGGCAGGTGGCTCCAGTTGTGGGAGGGAGGCTGTGATGAGACCCCAGCCCCTCTCCCACATTCCCAGAGGGAACTCCAGGCACCCTCACACCCACATCCCTCATCCAACTGGAGAGGTTAGTTTCCAGGCATGACTGGGGAGACCAGAGGGCAGTCACTGGGATTCCCAGCAGAAGCTGGAGGTGACACAGTGAGACCCCAGTACCACTGGCTCCCTGCCACACTACACCGCCCGCCCCATTAGAAACAGGGCCACCTTTGCATGTTTATCCAGCCCTCCTGTCAGTGAGTGGTGTTGACTCATGTTACGTTTAGGGTTGGCCCAGGCCTATGAGACAATGACCTCCCAGTCCTGGCTCCCAAGGCTCTGACTCTGGTGGGGGGGACAGACCCAGGAACTGTCCCACGGACCCAGACAACCTGATCTTGGCCGATAAAGAGTGTCTCTGGGGCCTAGAATAGGAAACCATGAGGGAGGGCGGCCTCGGAAGGAGCTCAGAGGAGGGGTGGGATGGAGGAGGCGAGGAGGGTTTTCCAAGCAGAGGGCAGGGGCATGGGCCATGTGGGCTCAGGTCCTCTGCCGCAGGATCACCAGTGTGGGAAGTACACAGGGGGCCTGGAGGCTGGAAGGGGGCTGGTCCTGCCGGACCCCATCACTGGACGCAGTGCAGCTGGGACACGGGGTTCACGCCTGGACGTGGGCATGGGGCTGGGAGGTTGCGTGCCGACAGAGCATCTCCCTGGGTGAGCAGAGCTGGTGGGGCACATTCCCGGAGCAGATGGCAGCTGAGAGGCAGCCCCCTGGCCCCCAGCCCCCAGCAGGCCTTCCCTCTCTCCACAGGGGGAAGGGCGAGACCCGGGCAAAGCTGAAGCGCTCACAGAGCTTCGGAGTGGCCAGTGCCAGCAGCATCAAGCAGATTCTGCTCGAATGGTGTCGCAGCAAGACCATCGGCTACCAGGTGAGGCAGACTGGCCCGGCTGCTGGGCCCCGTCCAGAGGCTGCAGTGGGCATCTCCCGCCTACCCTGCTCTTGTTCCCTGAGCCAGACAGCAATCCCAGGCAGAGGCAGACGGATAGGAGCAACAGAAGCTCAAGAAACTGTGTCCTCCCGATAGGTCTCCAGCCACCTGCAGCCAGTGCTTAGAGTCCCGGGAATCCCATCCCTGGGCCTGAGCAGACTGTCCAATGCCTCCAATGGGGTGAGGTCGGCAGCTGTGGCTTGTTGCCGAGCTGGGTGGATGATGGGCCTGGGGAGGGTGTGGGAGAACCTGTTTATGGTGTTGAATCAGGTAGGGGAGCTGAGGCAGGTGCCGTCACCCCCCTCACCCCCCCCGCCTTGGCCTCACAGCACGTGGACCTGCAGAACTTCTCCTCCAGCTGGAGTGACGGGATGGCCTTCTGCGCCCTGGTGCACTCCTTCTTCCCCGACGCCTTTGACTACAGCGTCCTGAGCCCCACGCAGCGGCGGCAGAACTTCGAGCTGGCCTTCACCATGGCCGAGTGAGTATGGCCGGGCCGCTGGTGGCCAGCCCCGCCTGGTCCCCGAGCCTGAGTTCTGCCCCATGTCGAGCACGGGGGTGGGCAGGATCCGAGGCAGAGCCGAGAGCCTTTAGGCCATCCATCCCGTCACCCGCACAGATGGGAAGACTGTGGCCCAGAGCGGGGATTTGCCCAGGCCACCCAGCACTCGGTGGTACCGTTCTCCTTTTCTAGTGCTCCCGCCCCCTTTGCTGGTGTCCCGCCTCTGGTGTGCAGTCTGTGAGACCAGCCACAGACAGAATGTGAGGGGCGGTGGGACAGGGTCCCCCAGAGCGCTGATGGCGGCTTGAGCCAGCCCCAGCTGCAGATCGCAGGAAATTGAATAATAGCTGCCTGGGGGACGTTTTAACTTCTCCTGTCGGTAGATTTTGCTTCCCTAAATGTCATTCCAGTGTTTAATGTGAAATTGCTTACCTTCTTAAGCCCCGCTCATAGGGAGAAGATTGGGTGGGGGGTGATTCCCGGGTCAGGAGGCGCTCGGGGAGGTTGGGATTTGGTTATCGGCTAACAGCAACCCCCAGGGCATCCCGGAAGCGACAGTCAGGGCTGTGGCCGGGGTGCCTTCCAGCTGTGCAGGCAAGGAGAGTTCAACAAAGGGATTCCTTACAAGAGTGTGGGCTGGAGCAAGGCTCCAGTGAGGCGTGAGCCCAGAGCAGCCCCGTGCCCCAGGGTTGGGAAGAGCTCTGTGGGGAGGGCTGGCTGATGGGAGCTGTGCTTCTGGGCGGTGGATGCTACCGGCTCACAGTGACCCGGCAGGAAGGGAGCTGAGTGAATAAATACTCTGCCCTCACCCTCCTCCTGCCCTCACACCTGGACCTCCCGTGGGCTAAACACAGAAGGGCGGGGTTCCTCCCCAGGGAAGGCACGGGGCAGAGATGAGGGTGCTGAGGGCTGCTTGGTGCTGAGCTTCGTGGAATTAGGGGGAGGAAGGTAAGAGGGCAGGAAGGCCTCCCCAGACCTGAGTTTCCCAGAGGAGACAGTTATCATCCTCTCCGCCCTTTGTGCCTGGTGGAGTGAGCCTCTGCAGTCCGTGTGTGCCTGACCCGTTTTGTGTCTTGTTTGCGTCGCCGATGCCTGTGTCCAGAAGGAGCTCTTCTGTGCTGGTTGAATTGGAGGAGCCCTCCTCACTGAGGAGCTGGTCACTGCCCAGAAGCATAGCTCCCTTGCCTGCCCTCAGTCCATTCCAGCCCCCATCCCAGCCCGACCCCTGGCCCCAGGCCTGGCCAGGGAAGGAGTTGGAGCTGACAGGGTCCAGCCCTGTGCTCGGTGCCGCAGGTCCTGCTCTGGGGACAGAACGGAGACCCTGGCTCTGAGCTCCCTGGCCTGAGCCATCGGAGTACCAGTATTGACCCCGTGGTGTTGTCTCGGATGACGTGCGTGGACTCTTGGCCCCCTTGGGGTCATAGGAACTCCTTGTATACTTTAAAAGCCTTCTCTTTCTTGGCTGCCTGGGATTAGCTGTCATCCTAATTGCAGAAACAGCTTTGGACGGAGTGTGTTACACAACCGGATCCAGACGACGGCGAAGCAGAGCCAAGTGTAGCGGCATGATGTTGGGGAGGGGGCCCAGCTGCTTGGAAGCCTAGACAGAGTGACTGTCAGGGTGTGCGGGGCCAGGACTCTGACGTGGGCACCCCAGGACCCCCCACCGCTGGGTGAGGCGCGCTCAGCTGCCAGCGTTTTTCTCCATCAAGTCCAGTGGGCCCCGCAGTGCCGGCTCATGCCCTGGCTGCCTTGGTCACCCACAGCCCTGGACCAGAGAGAAGGTGGCGGCCCTGCATCCCAGCTCACAGGGAACACAGCTTCCCTTGGCAGCCAGAGCCGGGGCGGTTCGTGGCTGTGCCTTCCCAGCACGAGGTTTGAGCTCCAAACAGATGTTTCTTCTATTCCCGAGGGTGGGGCAGTGGGGGAGCCTGCTCCAAGATTTTGCCTCCCTCCTCCCCAGAGCAAACAGCAGGGTGAAAACTTGGCCCTTCCTCCCCCATGGCCTGAGCCTGCTCCCGGCAGGGAGGGGAGGATGGTCTGGAGGCCCCTGAGATGGGGTCGTGTTTTCTGCTGACTGCGAGAGGGCCGGGGTGGAGGCGCCCCGGGCAGGCCTGTGTGGGAGTCTGGGAAGGTGCCTCCCTCGTGAATCATCCGGGAGATTGGCTCACAGGTTCGGGGGACGGCTGGGAAGGTGGGCCCGCCTGCCCGAGGCCTCTTGGGAGGACGGCAGCTTGACACACCTAGTTTCTTGGACAATAAGCTGGTTGGAAAAGCTGGAAAGCAAGCATAGGGACACTTCCATGAGGATACTGGCTACCAGTGTCTTAACCGATGCTCATTAGTTTTGCCAGCAAAAGGCAAGCGGACACGGGGGGCTGTTAGAAGCCGTCCAGAGCTACACAGGCAGCAGGACAGAGCTGAGAGAAGGGCAGTCTGTAAACGGGCAGAGTCGGGTGACCGGAGCCCGGGCTCTGATGAAGGCACAGCCTTTGGGAAGGAAAAGAGGACATGGACAGGGCCCCCAAACACTGGATCCACCTCCCATCAGGAAGGAGATGTTTCCAGACTCTTCTGTGAGCAAGGGCCTTAAAAGCCCAGAGATGAATCTGGAGCCTGTGAGGTGGGAGTGGTTTGGGCTGCCCCTTCTCCCAACAGTTGACCGTCACAAGCATTCCCGGGGCCTCCTCTGTGTGAGTGATGCGGTGTTGACAGCGAAGCAAGCTCCCCGCGTTGGACAGGTGTTCAGGACTTGGAAAGCGGGAGGACTAGCCCCTGTTCTGGGTGCTTAACCCTCTGAACCCTTCTCCCCACACCTCCGGGCGGAGTGCGGGCCCGGGGCCGGCCCTGCCGCTGAGGCTCCCGCTGGCCACGTGGGGGATGTGTTCTGCTCTCCGGTTACGGCCGAGCAGAAGGAGCTTCCAGGCTATTTGTAGTGCCCATGTGTCTCTAAAACCAGAGAGGAGGCTGGAGTCCAAGCCCGGGCGTCCCAGTCTGCATGTAGAGAAGGCTTAAGACAAATAAAAATAGCCCCTCAAACACCTCCTCCATCTGCCGTACAGGCCAGCCTGTAGATCACAATAGCCATGGTAGGAGGACACCCTCCAAACCTCTTTTAACCCCAGACGAGGTGGGACTAAGCAAATTCATTTAGAATTGCTAGTAGGCAGATGCTAACGCTGGTTCTCGCTGTGCGGTGACACTGAAGTAACTTGTACTTTCTCCTTTGGCTGTGATTCCATGTCATTTGAACTATTTGAAACAAATTCGTATTTTCACAAAAGCAGTTTTGTTTTCCTTTAAAAGGCCATGGGGGCCTCTGATGCTTGGAGACAGAAAGGTTTTCTATAAAAGTCAGTGCTCATCATCATTCTGCCTTTCCCACCTCCTGTCTCAGGAGCCGCGTCCGCAGCTTCTAGGAGTCTTTTCGCTACCATCAGAGGTGGTTGGGGTGGGTGGGGACCAGATGGCTATGGCTCGGTCCCCTGGTTGCATGCCGGGGAAGCCAGCACCTTGCGCATGGCTTCCTGTCCGGAGTCAGGCCTCAGCACCCATCCTGACTGCCACCCTGCACAGGGGCAGGGATGCCATTCCTGGGAGGGTCAGTGTGGCCTCTAGAATGAAGAACGGGGTCAGCCTGTTCTCCCTGCACAAGTTGGACAACACCTGGTATGTGCTAGTGATTCTGGGTGCCCTCCATGAAGAGGGCTGGAGAGAAACCAGAACCAGCTCAGAAGAGAGGGTCCCAGGTACCCTTTGGAGGCGCAATGAAGGAACCAGGGAAAGATGGGGATCTAAAGATTCTCTTCCAACAGGACTCTTTTGTGGGGCAAAAAAAAATTAGACTGAGTATAGCCTCATGGGGCCAATAGGTTAGAAGTACCAAGAGGCAAAACAGCATAAGAAATATGAGGGAAACATCCCTGTGGCCAAAGCCACCTGCAGAGGGATTCGAGCTGTCCTTGGAGGAAATGAGGACCCCTTCCCTGGACCTGGAAGTGAGCATGGCTGGGGCAGGGCCTCCACTGTCCAGCTGGGCAGGGGTCGGGGTTTGGAAGGTGGGATCTCAGTTCTTATCCACGGCTGCGGGTTAGGGTTCTGATGCTGCCCTTGCGTCCTGGGGGGACTGCTGAGGCCACTGGTGTCGTGCTGATACCCTGGGCATGTGTGCAGAGCTGTTTACACACACCTGGGATCCTCTGACAGCAGCCCTGGGAGGAAGGGAGGTAGGAGCTCTCCTTGTGCTGCAGGTGAGGAGAAGGGCAGCAGGTGCTATGTGATAGCATCTCAAGAGGTAAACCCAGGCCCCCGGCCTCTCTAGGAACTCAGATTTTCAATCCTCGACTATCGACAGAGCATCTTTGCATGTGCACCCTTATCAGAGCTCCGACTTCCCTGACCCTGAGCCCTGCCCTGGCCCATCCTGGGAGCAAGGGTGCCTGCTCATTGGGCCAGAACCACTCGCAACCCCACGAAGCCACTGGATTCCCTTACCAGACCGAGGGGGAGGCGGCAGTGGGTTCCAGGACAGATATCTCTATTTTGCCCTGACATTTGGTTTCTGATAAGAGGCCTGGCGTCAGGCCAGCACCACAGAACAGGGCCCCATGCTAGTGTTACAGGGAGCAGGTGGGGCCTGGTAGGAAGTGCTTGGGGTACAAGGCACCTGACAATACACCAGCTCCCACCAAGAACCAGCCCGCCAGGAGGGGGAGCAGAGGTGGGAGTCGGATTAAGCAATGGGCAGAGCCAGGGTCTGAACCCAGCTCGTTAGCCTTCCAATTCGGGGCTCCTCTCTGATGACCCACCCTGCTTCTGAGAATGACGTGTGATCATAAAAACAGCAGCAGTGATCATGTCTAACGCTTACTGAGCTCTTTCTACGTGCCGGACACCGTTCCAGCTGGCTTGCATGGTTTGCTCCCTCATCCTCACACCACCTTGTGAAGTGGCTGCTATCTCAGATGGGGAAACTGAGGCCCCAAGAAGTTGTGTCTTGCCCAAATCGTATCACTAAGAAGGATGCAGCTGGGGCATGAACCCTGACACTCACACACTTACTGATACAGAGGGAAAATCCGAGGGACCTTAGTATTACACACAGCTGTTGAAGGAAGGACACTGAGGATTGGACCAAGTGCGATCACTTTGGGCCTTTCGATTTGGCCTGATAAGGTCAGACCGGCCACATCTGGCGCCGGTGGGGAGTGGTGGTGGGATGGGGAGCGCTTCTCAGCACTGCCGAGGATCCCTGCTGTTACTTCCCGGTGCAGCACTGAGATGCTGTGATGCTCAGTGCTGTATCCCTTAAGGGAGATGCTCATCTTTCCGCTTCCTCGAAACCTTCAGTCCCCCCTCCCAGCTGGGATCGGTGGAGGGAACAGCTCTTTTTCCAGCTCAGTGAAAGCCCCCAGTTTCTACGCACATCTACACCAGTGGGCCAGAAATTAAACCAGTATTTTCCCAGAGCCTGATGCCCAGGGCCCAGGGCCGGCTGGCACAAGATGATTTTAAGCAATTTTTAAAACTGAGTTGTGACACTTGAGTGGATAATAAAGTCAATTTTGTAGCTCATGACCAGTATTTAAAAAAAAAAAGAGGTGGGAAGAGAAATAAAGATGAAATATAGAGAATATGTGAATAATATAGAGTATTTTTGTGAAACTTTATTTCAACATATATGTATGTGTGTGCTGAATCATGATGATGAAAAATCTCTGTGGGTCGTGGTGAAGAAAAGCGTTAAAAACACTGTTTTAGGAGGCATGTGGGTGGATTTACTTTTTACTTTATTCATTTTCCATTCATTTTTATAGTCTGTGCTGATTTTCCATATACTGCTGGTAAATTAAAATTAAATTTTTAGTGAAATTTAATTTCGAAACTAAATTTTTATTAATAAAATTAAATTAAGTTAAACTAAATGAATAAAATTTAATTTTTTAGTGGAGAACTTAATGTAGTAAAAGTTCAAAGCGACATTGAATTTCATTGAAAATTTGAAGTAGGTCTAGTTATGGAAAAATACAAGTTGTGAGGGTGGTTTTGGATGTGGGATTTGGGGGAACACTGTGTTAGATGAAGTAACTCCAAAAGCTCTTCTGGGGTTATGTGAATTCCCTTCTGGGGGTTCCAGGCTGAGTTCTGTTCTTTGCAGTGATGCTGGCAGATGGCAGGGGGCCGGCGTTCTGATGGGGCTTCTGTGTTTCAGGAATCTGGCCAACTGTGAGCGCCTCATTGAGGTGGAAGACATGATGGTGATGGGCCGCTAAGCCAGACCCCATGTGTGTCTTCACTTACGTCCAGTCGCTGTACAACCACCTGCGCCGCTTTGAATGAAGCCCCTTTGGGGCTGGAGAGCCGACCCCTGGAGGAGATGGTGGGGCCGCCTGTGTTCCCAAGTCAGGACGCCCCCCCCCCGGAAGAGTTGCATTCTGGTGTGAGAGCGCCGTTTGTTCTGTGCCACGTGACCGCGCTCCCCCACCTGCCCAGCTGCGTTACCGATGGGAGGTACCACTCAGCTGCGCTCGGACTGCAGCCATCGCAGCTCGAAGGAAAAGGAAGTATTACCAGAGAAAGAGAGAGAAATTGGTGCTAAGTCATTCTCTTCCTTAAAAAAATGCTTGCCTGTAGGTTCTGGAAGGTTGAATCGCAGTGTTCCCTCTGCTGAACTAGATCCATTGGCTTCACAGGGTTGCGCTGATTACCGAGTGTTTTTTTTTTTTTATCAAAATACCCAGAGTTTTCTACTTCCTCACACTATTGTAGGTTCTCTTCCTCCCTCCCTCTGGGCCACTGCCAGGAAACAGACGTTTAATCAGCAACTTGACAAAGACCGAAGTCTTGGGAAGAAGCCGTTTAATCACTCCCAGGTCCTGGGCAACAGATGACCTTTGAGTCACCTCGGCTCTCTGGGGAGATGGAAAGGCTCTCTCCTGGTCCCAGAGCGGTCCTGTCCTTCCCAGGAGGCCCCACAAGTGTTTGGCTAAGAATAGGCTCTCGGGAAGTTAACACTTCTAGGGAAGGACGGACAGGCCTTTGGTGCTGCAAGGTGGTTTCTCTCCACAGCTTTTTTAGGAGTTTTGCTGCAGATATTTATAAAAAGTAACGCCATCTGTACCCACTGACCGTTTGTACATAAAAAGACGTGTCTCACTTTGCTTGGGATTTGTCATTTCTGTTGGGAGATGGGGGACCTGGGAGTAAGAGATTTCGCACACATTCCGAATGAAAATCTACTGAAGTCCCCCCTTGACTATTTCTGTACCCAAATCACTGCCCAGAAAGTTGAAACTCACATTTTCTGTTTCTGCCTTTGCCGGTCAGCCACCCATCTCCGTGTCATCGAAGGAGTGTGGACATAAAGTTCCCCCTCACAGATCTGTCCCCTGGATGTTGACTGACAGATCTGTGACCAGCAGTGGGGTGGTCCCGCACGTGGGGGAGCCCCTCGAGGGGCGCTGGTTTATTTTCACAGATGTTTGGTGGTAGGCTTTTAGTAGAACATCTTTTTATTTTATTTTTTTTGAAGTGTAGTTGATTTACAATGTTAGTTTCAGGTGTACAGCAAAGTGATTCAGTTATACATATATATACTTTTTTTTTCAGATTCTTTTCCATTATATGTTATTACAAGAAATTGAATATAGTTCCCTGTGCTCTACAGTAGGTCCTTGTTTATTTATAGTAGAACATCTTGAGACTCTATAAAGCCATGGCCATTAGCTTATTCTTATTCAAGAAGCATTTTCTAATGGAGTTGGGTTTTAGCTATGAACTTGGAGAAGTTCCCTTTAAGGAGCTAATAGGCATCTTCAGCCCATGTAGTAGGTTCTAAACACCAGCATGTGTGTGCCTTCCCAGAGTCACCTGTGGTCCCTTGTGTTGGGGGACAGAGCTCTTCGGGGGGTATCGGGAGGAACGCAGCAGAGCTTGCCAGGTGGGTGAGCCGTAGCGTAGTCTCGGCAGATTTGTTTGTTCAGGCTGCAGCCCTCGTTCAAGCCTTTGGATACTCCCACAGTGGGAACCACTCCCTTTCCAGCTCTCTCATCTCTCGGAGGCTCGGGGAAGGTGAGCTCTATTATTAGCAGAGACACAGCGCCTGGTCTTTTTTCATACTGAAGCTTAGGGTTTCAAACCTAAAGCCAATTTGGGAACACAAGGGCTCTACAAAAAGCCTGCCTATACGTTACGAGTCCTCACGCGTGTTCAGTGGAACTCCCCTGAACTGCAGACGGGGGCGCACCTCTGCACATAAAACAGCATGTCCTACTGGATTTAGAAACTTCTCTTAAACTTGAGGGAGGGTGTCTGTCATATCTTGCATTCAGAATAAACACAGACTAGATATTTTTAAAGTAGGTTCTGTGATGTTATCTGTGTTTTGGGAGGAAGGGGGAGACCAGGGCTCATCAGCTTTAAGGGGTTTTAAAACTTGATTACCTCCAGGACTAAAGCCTGAGGCTTCCAAGGCGAGGGAGCGGGGCTGGATACAAGAGGGCTGCACAATCTCAAGACATTTGGAAACCATCCTTTTAGATCAGGCTTACATGACATTTCCCATTTGTGAAATTTGATTTTGAGTTGCCTACCATGGTACAAATGGTTTCATGTGGTTGGGTTGTTTTTTTTTTTCCATCTCTCTCCTGAGAATTATTTCTCAGAGCTGCTTATAAGATTCTCCTGCTTTTCCAGGTAGATTCCTTCACCTGGATTTGGTTAAAACTTCTTGGGTCTGACCAAATTGGCTTGTGTTTCCCCACAGTAAATGTGTTGCCGGAGCCAAGAGGGGTTTTGGCTTTTTCTGACAGCTGACGGAGATTTTTCAAGGCAAATGAGAGCTTATGAGCACTTTCTGAATATGATATTGTGTATGCTGGTTAGAGGAGAACGTTCAGGCCAGGTGTTTGGGGAACAGCCTGTGAAGGCCAATGAATTTCGCAAATGTGTCAGATGAAGTTCTCAGCTTTCGCCGTTGCAGTGGTCAGCGCTCTGTAACTGGAGGAGACAAGTATGAGAGGACATTTTCTGCCATCCCTGGTCTGAGGGATGCCAGACAATTGGCTGGCAGGCTAAAAATGCTGATTGCGTTGGTCGGTTTGCGGTGGGACATCTTAGCAGCCCAACAGAAGCAACTCTGAAACAAACACGCTCGGGACCCTTATAACTGTTGGAGTTGCTCAGACTTGCTCAAACAGCTGACCAACTCGTTCTGATGACTCGTTGCTGGTCGAGATGGCCAGCTTGTTTCCTCTTTGTTTCCTAGCTACGCTCTCAGGATCCACACGATCCTCTGCTCTTGGTGAACAATGCATGCTCTTGGTAGGGTTATTATCCATCTTGATCTCTCTTGCTTTTAAGATTTGGCTGAGGCTTGCTTTCAGAGCCTTTGATCTCTTATCTCGCAGGTCTTGGACTTGCTTTGACATCAAACAGCCCCCTATTGCCCTTTGAAAGAACACTCAGGCTTGCCTCCTCCCTAGAAAGCACCAAACAAGAAAAGGAGGGGGCCAAGAATGCTGCGCTCTCTGGGGCATCCAGGCGGCCTCTGTGGGAGGGAGATGGTCTGACCAGGTGCAATAAAGAGCTGATGGAGGCTCTGAATCAGGGCAGGTGATATGGGTGGTGACACCTGATAGATGCCAAATAGTATTTGGGTGCATCTTGACTTTCTCCCCGGTCCCTTGAGTTGACCCACTGCTGTCACACAGGCAGGGGCAAAATCTGTATGTTTTACAAACCCAGTTTTTAATCATTCACAGTTACAAGTGTCCTGAGTGTGTTTGATGTCTCCGTAGTAGTGCATTGTTGGACCACCCACTTCCTGACATCTTTGACCCAAACTCTCAGTTCCCCCTTACCTGTTAGTCTCCATCATAGCTTCCTTTCTCTCCATCCATTGCTCCCCAGTGCTGCGTCTCATGCTCTGTGCTCTGTCTTCTACATCAGGGGTTCATAACCCAGGGCTGGCGTGGCTTTGGAAGTCTGGATGTCCAAATTGAAAGTTTTACCTCCCTTTTCCCTCTAAAACTGGTTCCTTCTCCAATGTTTGCTACCTCGGCAAATAGCGACATAATCACTACCCTTCATCCATGCCAGGGACCTGAAAGTCACCTTGTACCTGGCCATCGTGGACCGACTGTCCTTTCATGCATCGTGAACCAGGCATTTGTAAAACCCTCACCCATGAAGCCTCAAGATTTCTACTGAGTGTCCTGGAGCATCAGAGCTGTTAGTTTTCCGCAAGGTTTTATTCTGAAAATCCTCAAATTTACAGAAAATTGAAAGGAGAGTTCAGTGAACATTGTGTGTGCCTTTGCCTTGACAACAGTCTGCCATGTTTGTGTCCTGTCTCTCTCCGTTTCTCTGAGCCACTTGGAAGTAAGGTACCGACATCCTGACACTCAGCCCTAGATCCTTCAGCAGGTATCGCGCGAGAATAACAACAGTCTCCCACATAAGCACAGTATATTAGCACACCCAGGAAATCGAACATTTATTCACCTCATGTACAGACTACATTCAAATTTCCCTGTTTCCACATGTCTTTTATGGCTGTTAAAGAATTTTCAAACTCCAGGTTCCAATCAGAGTTCACACACTGCATGTGATAGTTATGTCTCTTTAATCTCTTTTCATCTAGAATGGTCTCTCCACTTTTTGTTCACTATTTTTCACCTAACTCTTTTGAAGAGCCCAGGCCGGATGCCTCATAGACTGTTCCCCATTCCGCTCTTGCTGGTCACCTCCTGAGGAGATTCAGGTGAAACGTGTTTGGCACCAATACAGCCCAGGTGATGGGTATCCCGTGGCGTCCATCAGGAGAACATGCGGCAGGTTTGCCCACTGTGGGCCACGGGAGGGTTGGTGGCGTGGTGAAGGGGCTCCAGCAGACCCCTCCCCTGCCTTCTTTCCCCCTGTAATTAGTTAGGAATCTGTGAGTGATGTTCTTGAGACCATGTGCGTATCCCATGTCAGTGTCCCGTCCCCGGACACTTTTAGGATTATTGAGTGATGATTTTTGCCTGATTCTATGATTAGACAGGAGCTGAAAAGGGTGCTTTTTTAAAAATTGTTTTTAAGTTACTTTTTGTTTGTTTTTTTGGGGGGAGGTAATTAGGTTTATTTGCTTATTTATGTGTTTATTTAATGGAGGTGCTGGGGGTTGAACCCAGGACCTCATGCATGGAAACACGTGATCAGAACAATTACCTCCTAAGCCGGCTTCCAGGCCTCCATTCATGGCCTTCTCTAACCCATCCTCTGTGCAGGGCCACCAGGGAGATCTTCCAGCGCAAATCTGACTGCATCACCACCTCCACTGAATGGATTCCTGTCACCCGTAAGATAAGCGATTCCTCATCAGGGCATTGAAAACCACCTAACCTGGCTCCAACTCTCACCTTTACCTTTGTCCCCCACTGTTCACCTGAATCCTTCATGTTCAGAGCTCACTCTAAACATCACCTTCTCTGGGAGGCCTTCATGGACAGCCCTCCACCATCTCTGTTCCCAGAGCGCCATAAACTTACTCTGTCCTCTCACTCACCACTCTTGTCACTAGACTGTAAGCACCAGGAGGTCAGAGAGCGGGCCTGGCTCCCTACTGGGTGCCCATGACCTAACAAGAGCCTAACACACAGTAGGTGCTTCATGAGTATTTTTTGAATAGATGCTCTGTGCCAGGCGAGCACAGGAGGAATGGGCTGAATGAATTGGCTGTTCTGGGCGCCTCGACCCCGGCCCAAGTTTCTGAAGGTTAAGTGCTTCCTTTCAGAATGAATCAGGTGCCGCTGCGTCTGCTTCCAGCAGGACGTGCTAACCCAGCATTGCTTCAGTTCCAATCGCAGGAGACTCCTGACCGGCAGCGGGCGGAGCAGAGTCAGGTGTTTGTTTGTGGAGCAGATGTTGCTAAATGGAGGCGAAGGGAACAGGCTGTCACTGAGCTTCTCCAGGCTTGAACTGGAACCACCATGGGTTAAGAGGTTCAGATTTCAGCTCCCAGAGGGCAGCGTCCCTGCCTTGGATGAGGAATGGGAATTAGTGTCACGGAGAGTCCACTGGGAAGGTTTCCTTCCCTTGGGTCATTAGCAGAGCCTGAAAAGAAGGAAAATCACGTTCGGTTAGAACGGATGAGTGCTGAGAACACCGCGGGGGTCTGCTGCACTGGCCAGAAGGCAAGGCGGGGTGGGGGATGGGGTGGGAAAGCAGACCACGGCCAACCCCCCCCCCCGCCCCGCCTCCAGACCTCCCTGAATGACCCGCAGGGCAGCACCTTCCGGTGCCTGAAACCCCGCCCGCAGCAGAGTACAGCATCAGATCCGTCCTAGTGGGACGAAGCAAATTGCATTAACCACGTGGCACGTGGCAGAATCACAGAGCAAACCACTGCCGAGTTTATGCATGGATTCCCTGGGGGGCAGAGAGAGGGCTGTGTGCTCATCCCCCTCCCCCCTGCCATCCCAGCCTTGGACAGACTTTGCACACAGTAGGTGCTCGGGGAGGCTCTGTTGATTGGACTGGGACAGATCATCTGCCCACATGTTGACACCACTCCACTGTCCTGGTTCCTATCGTATTGCACGTTGGCAAGTTTGGGGGACGCCAGGCCACTTTATCCCTCTATTAAAGGCTTGGACAGAACTGAAGCAGGTCTGCGAAGGGGAAGCTGATTCACAAGGATCTTGCCTCCCACTGTGGCTTTCCCTCTGCCCCCCCCCCCCGCTCCCTGGGGCAGAGCTGGGCTCTAAGCACAACCAGGCCCACCCCCACGAGAGGCACTGATTCTCCAGAGAAAAACTCAAGGTTCTGTCCAGAACTGTGTCCCCTACCCCGTCGCTGCAGTTTTCGTCCGGACCTAGGAATCTCATTCCAAAGGAGATCTGTTTGTTTCTTTCTGTTACTTTATCCTCAGGCTTACGCTACCCAAAGAGAGTGACTAAGGGGAAACAGAATATTTTCAGCCAGGGGCCATCACAGTTGCTGTATCAAGTATCTTTTGGGGCAGTGGATTTCATGACAGGTGTGTTTTTATTCGGGAAAAATAATGCACTTAATTTAGAGGGATGGACTTCCCTTCCAAGAACATGCCCTCCCTCTCTCCCCTGCCCCCCTCCCACCTTCCAGTATCGTCTACAGTGATGGCAACCACCGTGTTTAGCCTGGAGAGACCACGACACCATAAGCCAGAAGACCCCGCTTCCAGTCCATATTTTTAATGACCATATAAACTCACGGAGCCATAGTTTTCTCCTCTTTCAGGTGAGCATCAGCCCTGCACCACCAGCGTGGAAGGGATGGGGGGGGATTAGTGAGATGATCTTGAGGGGACAGCGGTCCTCACTGGGACAGCAAGATGTGAATGGTGCCCTGTGTTGGTCTCAGCCCTCTTTCAGGCCAGAGACCTGAAGGCCAAGGCCCAGAGTGGAAAGGGGACTGGGTTGGGTGTTTTCTGAAATTGCCCTTGCCCTATGATTGGGTATTTTTTCCTTTATTTAAAAAAAATTGATTTTAGTAAAACAAAACCTACATCCTTTAAAAAACTATTTTATCAACGTAATACAAGTACGTAGAACAAAAAGTCAAATGGTACTAAAAGACACACTGAAAAGCACTAGCCTTTTCCCCTCCCACACCCTCGCCCCCTCTTGCTCCCCAGAAGGACCCATTCTTACAGTTCTTTCTTCTATTTCCCTTTGTATTTATCGCTCTATTTCTAATTGACATTGTTTCACTCTTCTCTCTCGATTTTCCCTATGAATACATCCCTTGACCTCCCACAATGGGAGGTAAGAATGTGCTTCTTCCACACCATGACACCATCACTTTCTCCCAGTCAGTCCCCCCACTCTCCCAACGTGGTCACATCACAATTTTTGGTCAAAGCAATGGTCACTGTTCACTTGGTTATGACTGTGCAAATAGTGTTCAACTCAGATTTTTCCCCAACCAAATTCTTATCTTCTTCCCCAAACCTGCTGTGGTGGTTTTAAAACATATTCACAAATCCTTGGACTCTCCTTGCATCAAGAGAGGGAACTGATCCCCTGCCTACTTGAATACGGTGACTTGATTCTAAGGAGTAGAATGTAGCTGCAGAGATGCTGTGCTGCCTCTGATGCTGGGTCATAAAAGGCGATGTGGCTTCCCTCTCTGTTGTGGGACACACTCTGTGGAGCTCTGGGCAACCATGTAAGGAGTCCAGCTCTTCTGAAGCCACCATGGTGGAGAGAGCATGTCGAGAGACCACGGTGGGAGACATAGAGAGGGAGAAAGAGAGAGAGAAAGGGACAGAGGCCATGAAGATACGGATGTCTGAAGAGCCCCACCTGGTCCGTCCTCCAGCTATCCTAATCTTCTAGTCCAACCAGCAAGTCAGACATGTGCAACTGAGCCCAGTCAACCCCCAAAACCATGAGAGCTAATAATAAATAGATGATGGTGGTGGTTTTATGCCACTAAGTTGGGACTGGTTCGACAAGGGATAACAAGGTCATTGCTTCAACTTTGGTCTCCTCATCTCGTTGACTGCCCCTTCATCTTTCCAGTTGCTCAGACCAAAAATCTTGGGGCCACTCTTGACTTCTCTCTTTCTTTCATACCTCACATCTGTTATGTCAAGAAATATTTTGGCTCTGCCTTCCAAGTGTACCCAGAGTCCACTCACTTCTGTCCACACACCTCCAATCCTGGTCCAAGCTGCCATCAATCCTCTTGGGCCATCATGATTGGATCACTGTACTAGCCTTCTAACTGCAATAACATCTCTTCTTTTCTATTTTTTTGAGGGGAAGGGAGGTAATTAGATTTTTTTTTAATGGAGGTACTGGGGATTGCACCCAGGACCTCGTGCATGCTAAGAACACGCTCTACCACTGAGCCATACCCTCACCCTGCAATAGCATCTTACTTCTACCTTTCTCCCTGCTATAGTTTATTCTTCACACATCAGGCAGAATTTTCCTGCTAACATGTGAGTCAGATCACAAAACCCTGCGGCAGTGCCCATCTCACTCAAAGTCCTCACAGTAGTCTGCAGAGCCTTCACATCCTGGTCCCTCTTATCTCTCTGACATCATCCCCTAGTCTTCTTCTCCCCCTAATTCTGCTCCAGCTCCACTCTTCTTGCTAGTCCTCAGATGCATTAGGCTCATTTCTATTTTAAACCCTTTACATGAGTCATTCTTTTATTTTATTTCCAGAACTAATCATTACTTTTTGTTTTTTATTTGCTTAGCATTCCATATACCAATCACTAATTTTTTCCCCAAGTGCATCAGCATTTCTGGATACTATTTTCTATGTCCTCAAACATGTCCTTTTCTTTATTCCTTGGGTGCCTCCCTTCTGGTCCCCTCTCTATGTAATCCTGGCATTTCCTTTCACTGCCTTCCTGTATTGAATCCCATGAATTCTAGTTCCACAACTCCTTTCTTAATTTACTTTCTCATTTGGTTGGCACACATCCTGCAGTAGCTGTTTCAGAGAAGATACATGTGTGAGGTAAAATTTAAATCCTTGCATGTTTGAAATGTTTTATTCTACTTTTATTCTTTATTGATCATCCAGTTACAAGTATTCCAGGCTGAAAATCATTCTCACACAGGAGTTCAAAGGGACTGCTCCATTATTTTCTAACGTCTTTGTGGCTATTTAGATGTCTAATGCCATTCTGATTTTCTGTACTATTTTTTTTTTCTGGAAGCTTTGAAAATCTTTTCCTTATTCAGGGTCTTCTGAAATTTGTGCTGGCATATCTTGGTGCGAATCTTTATTCATGATGTCAGGCACTTAGTGGGACCTTTCAATCTGGAGATTCATGTCCTTCAGTTCTGGAAAATGGTATTGTTTTTGCTAGAACTTCCTTCCTCCCATTTCTCTTTTCCCCTGTTCTCTCTTGAATTCCTACTAGTTGGAAATTGGAATTCCTGGACTGGTCCTCATTCTTATCTTTCCTCAATTATTATTATTTGTAAACCTCTTGAACTCTTATTCTGCATTACCTCTCGAACTTTCTTTTAAGTATTTTCTTCTTACTCTCCTTTTTAAATATTTCCAAAATCTCATTCTTGTTTTCTCATTAATTCCCTTAAAAATAACATCCTACTCTTCTTTAATGACTATAGCGTCTTATTTTATTTCTCTGAAGGAATTATTTAAAGAACTTTTATTTTTTCACATTTTTTTCCTGCTCCCATCAGCTCTATTTCCTCTAGATTCCTTTCTCCTGCTTGTTTGGGTCCCTGTCTTTCAAATGTTTGATGATCCTGGGCTGCCCATTCTTGTCTAAACCCGATTCACTAAAAAGATGAATAGAGGCTGTGAAGGAGTGGCTGGGTTTGTCAATGGGAAGGACTTAGTACAAGGTAATTGAGCCTTTTCAATGGGGGCGTGACTCCAAAATGTCAGACATCAGAGTTCTTTTCTCTGAAGCCATCAGTTCTCCAGAGAACTTCTCAGATCTGCCGGCAGTGCAGGTGGGAGGGGCACGATGGGGGTGTGGAGAGGGCTGGGGTGAGCCTGCCTGCAATTCCTGTTCATTTTCAAAAGCAGAGGAGGTCTAACCACCCCCTCACATGACCTTTAGCCCCCAGTTTTCGTGCCAGGCTCATTCCCAGCTTCTGGAGACCTTGGTCCTCCAAGACCCCTGAACTTAGAGTTCAACAGAGCCAACCCCCTTCTGCTGGTTGGTCTCCTTGTCTGCAGAGACACAGAGAGTGGTCCCCAGTTCCACCAAATCAGCCATCCACCTCTCCATCTTCCAAATGTTTGTGGGACTGTCTTAGCCATGCTGTCTCTTCTCCCATTTTCTCCCTTATAGGTTTATATGTATTTATTTTTATTCCTTTGCTGCCATTTTAGGAAGGCCTTGGAAGTGGGAAGTCAGCCGTCTGCCATGCTTCCTAAGAAGTGGGTTGCATTTAATAACAGAATTTGCTGTATCGCTCAAAGAAAAGGGAGGGCAGTTAAAATACTCAATTTGTGTGCAGGATGTATCTTCTCGCTCATAATCCACACGTGCTGTCCGTGAGGGGCCAGCACATCAAATTCCCAGATGATGGACTGCCCTCCGAGGGCTGTTAGGAACTTTCAGTGAACTAGGACAAGAGAGATGTGTGTTAGCGCAGTGCCTGTATTTGAGTACCGAAGTACAATTACAGTTTGGAATGTACTTGACTAAGGGCTCTGGAGATTTCGGTGAACGCCTAACTATTCTGTTCTGTGTCCAAAAGCAAGAGCAGTCTTCTGTGAGCTTCTCCTGGGAGGTCCACCAGCCCCTGGGTCTCAGGCTCTGGATTTTGAGGAGGCGGTGGGGCAGTCCCTCCGGTCTCGGCCACTCATGTACTGTGCAGAATTGGCATACATGGGGCATCCCGGCTCAGCCAGAACGTTCTTGCTTCTTGGCATGAACCCATCTCTTTGCAAACCCAGACACTGTGTGTCTTTCTCCTCAGCCCTCTTCTAAAGTTTGCTTCTACCCATTCTTGCCCGTACACATCTTTTTCAACATTCAAGTCACTCTTTAATTTGTGAGAAAGAGAGCTGGGTTCTAGTTCTGCCCTTGCCATAAACTGCCTGGAAATAGCTCAGAGGTGGCATCTAGATTCAGTCTGCCCCAGTCTGAATCCCAGCTCTGCCACCAATTAGCAGTGTTCCGTGGGTAAGCCCTCAATCCTCCACGGCCTCAGCCTCCTCCTCCGTCCAAAGGAGATGATAATAATAGGTCCTAACACAGAGCCCTGCTGCGGGGATTAAAGAGCTAATCCACTGTGAAGTGCCCAGCCTGGTGCTCAGCGTTCAAAAAAAGCCAGCTGTAACTCTGATTATCTTTCCCAAGTTAAACCCTCAGGCAAACTTTGTTGCTTCGAGCACAACTGGAGATGAGGACTCTTAGGGGGGATGAAACTTTTCAAACGGCTGAGGCAGAGGAAATGTGATCTCCTTGATTATGTCTGTAGCTTCTACCAGACCACATAGCAACAGAACAACATAGCAACTAATGAAAGCAATTCCGTTTTGTTCAACCCGTCAACTTGATTTTTTTTTTAATGTCATTCTGACTTAAAAAAAGAAAAAACAAAACCTCCCTGAGTAGTTTCCGCATCACATAGACAAACCCCCGTGGTAAAAGTGGCATTTGATTTTTGTTTCGGCTCAAAAGCAGTACTCATCACAAATTTATAAACGAATCCCAGACTCCCTCGTTTCTCATGAGCCTGTTATTTTATAAGCTAGTTGCGAGATTGTTACCACAGTGCCCTCTAGTGGAACATAATGATTTCCTTGAGTTAGGTTGCTTAGATTTTAAATAGGAGTCCGTTTATTTATTATTCATAGTATTAGGCTCATTTGAAGATAGGACTTATCCACATACTTCACGAAACTTTAAAAAAATTACTCATGATTTATTTTTCAGTCCTTTGAACTGTAAGGCTTGGTTTTCACCATCTAAGTTTCTACCTTCTCGCAGAGCTGTTCCACCACGTGGGCACATCCATCCTACTGTCGTGGTTCTCTGGGTTCAGAGAGATGCTCTCAAATTAGTCCACAGGAATTCTGGAGGAGCGGGGAGAGCAAGCCAATTGTTCTGCACAGGATAGGGGGTGCAGTTAGAATTCCCAAGAAACTGCCTGAAATCATCCTTTTGTGCCAGCTCCTATCCAACTTCTCCCCAGCTGGATGCGCTGAAGATCCCAGAAGGGCTCAGAGTATGATGCCCCAAAATATGCCATGTTGGCACTAGGATTATTTTGAGATGAAGGTAACTGAGAAACAGCAGATCCAGGAAAAGTTCTCTGCCCTCCCCTTATCTGCCTAAAAGTAGGGCATGGATTTTCCTTTAAGGAATGTGTCCCTCTGTCTCATGAAGAAGAGACTAACTTTTAGCACTAGAGACTGGGGTCACACTGAGATGGAGCTGCATAGACAGACCTCACTAAAATAACCCTTATCGTCCATTAGTTTCCCCATACATTTCCTAGTCACTTTTCCAGAATTTATCACCCCTAGAAGCCCAGGTCTCCTTCCCTTTGTCTAGTCACTTCTCCACAGTGTATTGCCCTTTGTTAAAATGGTATATAAGCCCCCGTGTCTAGCTGCTTCTTTGAGTTTTCACTTCTTTTTTGGGGAAGCTCCCATGCACACAAACATGCTAACATCAATAAAAATTGTACTTATTTTCTTCTACGCGTTGTCAGTTTAATTTGCACATCCCCAGAGACAGAACATAAGCGGGTAGAGGAAAAGCTTTTCCTTTCCTACAATCCCAGGTGTGGAGTTAATTGTGAAAAGGGCAGGAGGTGGGTTAGCAGCCTTTGCTCCACCCACCAGGGAGCATCTTGCAGCTGGTTTGACTCTTGAATGTTACTGCTTCATCCAATTCAGCACCTTCAGCCGCTGTGCCTGACAAGTGGCTCAAGACAAGAAACCAACCACACAAAGAGCCCAGTGCACACTTTGTCCTGCCTTATCTTGACTTTCAAGGAGCTTTGTGTGTTCTATGAAATGCTAATCCTCCAGGGTGAAATCCAACCTGGTTTATCCTCAGAGCTACCAGGGCCTGCAGTGACGGTGAGCAATGAAGCACTAAATTTCTTCTCCTAAAACACAAGGGGTCTATTCAACAAACTCAGTGTTGCAGCACAAAAAGCTATTCTTGTATCAGATCAACAAAGGGAACTGGTCCAAGTGCAAGGACAATTTGAGGTTTATGTTCTGTTTTCTGTGGAAAAGTGAAACCCCAGGGAAGACCACTGGTAGGACCAAGCAAGCCCCACGAAGGGGCAGCATTTCCTAAACCTAAGTTCTGATCCAGCAGGTTGATGATGGGGCCTGGGAATCCATCCTTGACCAAGATCCCCCTGGAGAGGTTCTGATGCGATTACTGGAGGGTCGCCCACATTCTGAGAAGTACTCGATGATATCTGCCAAGGCTCAACAGCAGGTCCCATGAAAACGATCAGATGCACAAGGTCATGACCATATAGTAAAAGAATAATTACATTTTCCAGGGTTTGGCTCAATCAGACTTTTCTTGGCCCACATAAACGCTAGTAGATAGGTATTTATAAACAATAAATGTATGTTTAGCATCCTGAACTGTACTTTAAAAAATTTTTTTTTGAAGTATAGTCGATCCACAATGCTGCGCTAATTCCTGGCTCACAGCACAGGGACCCAGCTGCATGTATATATGCATGTTCCCCTTCATACTCTCCTAAGAGCTGCTGGAAAATATTGAATACAGTTCCCTGTGTCATACGGCAGGACTCCGTTGTCTGTCTATTCCGTATATGGTACTGAACTATACTTTTAAATAGAACATTAAGAAATAGTCATTACAGAACATTAATAAGTTGCAGTATACAAAATCAATACACAAAAACCTGGTGTGTTTCTCTTTTTTGTAAATATATATTTTATTGAAATATAGTCAGTTTACAATGTTGTGTTGATTTATGGTGTACAGCATAATGCTTCAGTCACACATGAACATATATACATATTTGTTTTCATATTCTTTTTCACCATAAGTTACTACAAGATATTGAATATAGTTCCCTGTGCTATACAGTATGAACTTGTTGTTTATCTATTTTATATATATTAGTTAGTATCTGCAAATCTTGAACTCCCAATTTATCCCTTCCCACCCCCTTCCCTCTCTGGTAACCATAAATTTGTTTTCTATGTCTGTGAGTCTGTTTCTGTTTTGTAAAAGTTCTTTGTCCTTTTTTTAGATTCCACATATAAGTGATATCACATGGCATTTTTTTCTTTCTTTCTGGCTTGCTTTACTTAGAATGACAATCTCCAGGTCCATCCATATTGCTGGAAATGGCAGGATTTTCGTTCTTTTTTATGGCTGAGTAGTGTTCCATTGTATACATCTACTACATCTTCTTTATCCAGTCAGCTGTTAGGTGGTTTCCATTATCTCACTGTTTTTAATCCATGTTACATTTTATATCATCTTGTTTCATTTTATTTATTTTAGTGGTTACTCTCTCATGCAAGTGATACTAGTTTTCTGTTTATGGGAGTGATGTAGGGTCGTCTTTTAAAATAATTTTGCTTACATGTAGATATGAGTGTGTTTGAAGAAAAATATCAAAATAATTTTACAGGTGGTGCATGGATATGTCAAAAATGAAGAAGTTGGCACTAGACTGACTGAAATTTGGGAAACATAGTTTTATTCCGACCAACAAAAATCTCAGAATCACTTAAAACTCAAATGCATCTTGCCTGAGGATTCCTAACTCTGAATATAAGCTTTGGCTGTCCACTTATTAATTTAGCAAATTCTAAGTCTTGAGCTGTGTATCTGCTTTACATACTCTTATTCCCTACCCAATACTGATGCCAGATACACTGAGTAATTATTGATAATAAGCTGTTCCACACTTGATTGGACTCATTCCTTTGCTGGCCTGTGTGGGTGCAAAATAAGGTTTTTCTTTTGAAAATATTTTCAAATAGTTGCAATTACACTTAAACTATAAAATAAACAGTTGAAGGAGAGTTCTTTTTTTCTTTTTTTTAAAGTGTATTAGGAGATGCAACAGACTCCAAGTTTAGTCATTTCAGAGGGCAGAAGCAGCGGAGGAGAGCCCAGCTGGCAGGACTCAACCATAAGCATTAGTTCTTTGGTAAGGGTCTCAGGGTTTTTCTAGTTCCCTCCACCCCATGGGGGAGGGGGGAGGATTAAATCTGTCTACGGATGCAAAATACAATGGCGACCCATGATCATAATTTATACAGCTAATTTCATGTACTTTGACCAATTCTATCACATTCCTAGCAGGTCCAAGAAATTTCCCTTCCTGTAACCTGCGGTGGGGGGACCCCAGGGTCGGGGCCTCCAAAGGAAACCATTCAGGGTTAGTTCGCTCCAGGTTGCCGCCCCTTTTTCTCGCCTAAGTAGGAAAGGAGACCCGCCTGCCCCACGCACTCAGGAGCCGGACCACCTTCTTCAGGTGTCCTTGTGAATGCAGGGCTGGGGCTGGGACTCGGGCCCTTCCCCCGGTGGGAAACCCGGGCTCCACTCCCTGCACACCCACCAGCAGCCGAGACTGGGGACTCCCCTGCTTGTGGGTGGGGCGGGGCAACTTCGTTCCGAGAGTAGCCCCTCCTCTGAGGGGTGCGGAATATGAATATGCAACATGAGCTCCTGGGCGCACACCTGGACCAGCCACGTGTTTAATATTCATGACGCTTCGTGGTTTCCCCAGGCGCTAACGAAGGGCTCGCGAGATGTTAACGGGGCGGGCTACACGAGGCAAAGCCTCCTCTGACTGGTTGCCCTTAGAGGGAGGCTGTCTTTGATTGGCTGGCATAAAGGGCGGAGCTGCAGGTTTGCCATTTGGGCGGGAGATTTGAATACCCATTTTCTTCATTTCAGGCCGTGTGGACAAGGACCTAGGCCAGCAATCCGCATTTCCCCCCAAACTGTGTAATTCCTTTATTTTTTACTTATTAGTACCTTACCAATACTATAACCATAAAGAACATACTCCGAACACTACTCTCAGTCTGGGAGCTCCAATCCACTCCTTTTGTAGATGTAAAAACTACTTCTGACTCCTAGTCTGAGTCCGGCCACCGCCCTAGTCTGTCCTCTGAGGGGCAGGCCTGGGGTGCGAGGACCGGCGCCTCCGCCCACCTCCTCTCAACCCCCTCGCAGCCGCGGCAAACCCAGGAATCTCTCGCGCCTAACTCCCTGTAGCGCCAGGTTTGTGGCTTAGCGGTCCCGGGCCAGCCGACGGCTGGGAGGACGGACGTGGAGGCACCGTCCAGCCCAACCCTGAAGCACACCTGGGGAGTCCCAGATCCAGTGAGAGCAGTGCGGCCGGAGGTGACCCAACCGCAGAACTCCCGACTCCTAGCTTGGGGTTTTGGTCGCTGTCTCCTGCTTGGTGTCCCGCGTCTTCGTGGTAGGTTGAGACGGCCGAGCATCTGGCCCGAGCTCTCCCAGGCCACATTCCTGTGTCTCCAGAGCTGGGAAAACATAGAACTCGCGCCTGCGCAGAATCTTCCAGCGATGCTGCTTCGCGCTAGACCGCGCCCCCTTTGCCTTGGTGACGCGTCATTGGTTGCCATGGAGACCGTGCTGTTAACCTCCCAGTTCTACAAGAGCTCCGAGCTCCAGCTAGGGTAAGGAGCCTCCCACCCTGAAGTTGCGTAGTAGTTCTGTCCTTGAGGTAAGTAAACCCCGGCCCCACCCTATCAACCCTTTACTGCAGCCTCAGACCTACCTAAAGTCTCGTGCCCACTGGGATCAGGCCGAATTTTGGTTTAATTTCGACCTCATTTAGCCCTAACTTCGATTTCTCTGGGAGCTACTCAGACTTATCGAGGAGTCTTGGGTTAAATTTTGAGTCCCACACGCAGACAAACTTGGCAGGGGCCATAGGAGGGACTGGATTAGGAGACCCATGTTGTCAGAGGGTGCTGGGTGACCTAGGGCTCAGCCTGGTCCAGATCTGACCCCATTTCCATCCTTGTATATTTCAAAGACTTTAGAGATCCAGAAGCCTTTAGGGACAGGTGCTCAGATTTTGGGGATGGGAATGTGGCTGGGGGCAGACTTTAGCCCTGTCTGAGGAAGGCAGTTCTCACAGACAGAGCTGTGTGCAGATGAGGTGGTGAAACAGTCGTCTCTCTGTTGCTGCTGGCCTCTGCCTGCTGACTCCTCATACATTCTTCTTCTTGTTCTCTCCTTTTCTTTGTCCTGGGAAAGTTTTGTTTCTTTCATCTGCTGAATAGGCTCAATACCCAATTGTCAGTTTATAGATGTTATGTTTGTCCATTTTTTTAGAAACATATCTGAGTTCATCTGTTTAGCAATCCCTACTAAAACTGAACACTGACCTATGACCCAGAAATTCTAGTGAGTCATAAAAAATGCATGCATGTGTTCACCAAAAAACATTTATGGGAATATTCATAGCATTCTCATGATAGTCCATAACTGGAAACCACAAATAATAGAAAACAGAGATAAATATTGGTATATTCATCCAATGGTATACTACACTTCAACGAAAATGAACAAACTACAGCTGAGTGATACTGATAAATCTTAGAACATGATGTTGAGTGAAAGGAGTCAGATATAGAAAGGCACATAGTGATTCCATTTATATTGAGTTCAAAAACATGAAAAACAAACTTATAGCATTAAAAGTTGGAATAGTGATCACTGCGTGGTAGGGTAGTGGGGGTGGGTGGGTGAAGAATTGTGGCCAGAGGCATGAGGTGCTGATAATGCTCATTTCTTGATCTTTAATAAAAACTGCTGTTAAAAAAAAAAAAGGACAACTTGCTTTCAGTGAATCTAAAAGAAATTCTACTTTTGATCAGGACTTTGGAAACCTCAAATGGCCAGAATACTACAACCTCCACCCAAATTCCTGCCCTCAGAGTGGCACATTGCTAACAAGAGCCAGTACCACAGAGCAGAAGCCCAAAGGTCTCGGTCCGAGCGTCTGGTGGCAGAAAGCCAGAGGCTTGTGGATGAAATTGAAAAGACCACAAGAAAATCTCAGAGCGATGTGAACAAGAAACTAGGTAAGATAAGGCACTTGGTAAATCTGAGAACATGTCTGGATGATACTGTCGACGTATAGCCTCTAAACTGTCATTTGCATTTCATGTTCAGGAGTGGCAACATATTATCTTGAAATATTAGTGAGAAATGTGTATTCTCCAGGTTCTATATTTAAGTTCACTGATAACCCACTGATTTTCAGCTATCCATCATTCACTATTTTATTGATTTGATACATATCTGTTGAGCATCTAAGAACATCCATGGACTCAGCACTGAGACTATCACAGAGAATGATCAGAGTCTCTGTTTTTTAGAGACTACTGGATTGAGGAGGAGAAAGCTACAAAAATTAATAATTAGAATATAGATGGGTGCTGGGGGGAAAGGGTAAATCAGTAGGGCTGGGGGAGGCACTGGGGGGTTGGGAAAAACTTCCTAGAGAGGAAATTTGAGCTAAGTCTTAAAAAACAGTAATGCTCTCTTGACAATTTCATTCTTGCAAACATGATTTAAAAGGTGGTGCTCTTAAATGAGCAAAGTAAGAATAAACATAAAGTGAAATAAACAAAACCTCCCAAATGCCAAGAAATGATAAATCAGAGGTTACAAACTCAACAGTCTATCACGGTTGGACAGGTACCATAAGTGTTTGAATAAGACCTAACCCTAAGGCAGTAGGGAGTGGTGGGGACTGCGGACACTGGGAGAAAACATGCTCCATGTAAGGAAGCAGCTGCTACTTAACTTCAACCCATTTTTTTCCAAGAAAGAATATGGATCCACTATTGCCAAATTGCATGATTTTTTTTAAAGAAAATCTAGAAAGCTGGAATTTTACCCATTTTTTAAACACTGTATTGATATATTTATAACACTGAGCAGGATGAACAAACACATCTATAGATAAAATCTGGTCTAAGGGCTGCCAGTTTTTCAACCTCCAGGAAACCAAAGCTTCCTTCAGGCCTGCAAAGCTAGATGTTAAGCTTCTCCTGATGGGTTGATCCTTACCCCTGATACCCATCTATAGGCAGGCACATTCTAAATAATTGTGCAGATAGGTAGGTGTTAGAAATGAGGATAAACCATTCTTTTTTTTTCTTCAGTAACTATGTTTTAATAGATATGAGAACAAAGTTTTCAAGGTCTGAATGTTAACTTCATTGATTCTTTCTTTTTTAACATTTTTTATTAATTTATAATCATTTTACAATGTTGTGTCAAATTCCAGTGTTCAGCACAATTTTTCAGTCATACATGGACATATACACACTCATTGTCACATTTTTTTCTCTGTGAGCTACCATAACGTTTTGTGTATATTTCCCTGTGCTATGCAGTATAATCTTGTTTATCTATTCTACAATTTTGAAATCCCAGTCTATCCCTTCCCACCCCCCGCCCCCCTGGCAACCATAAGTCTGTATTCTCTGTCTATGAGTCTATTTCTGTCCCGTATTTATGCTTTGTTTTTGTTTGTTTGTTTGTTTGTTTGTTTTTTAGATTTCATTATGAGCGATCTCATATGGTATTTTTCTTTCTCTTTCTGGCTTACTTCACTTAGAATGACATTCTTCAGGAGCATCCATGTTGCTGCAAATGGCATTATGTTGTCAGTTTTTATGGCCGAGTAGTATTCCATTGTATAAATATGACTCGTTTGAAAAATCAGCCATTACAATGGCATTGAAAAACATCAGATATCTAGGAATAAATCTAGCAAAAGATATGTAATAGTTCTACACTGTAAACTGTGAACTGATATTGAAAGAAGTTAAAGAAATTCTAAATAAATGCAGGATAGATCAGTTAATGGATTGGAAGACTCTGTATTTTGAAGATGTCAATTCTCTTTACATTAGTCTATGGGTTCAGTGCAAAGCCAATGGAAATCTTGGCAAGTTTTTTGGTGAACTTGGCAAACTGCTTCTAAAATTCATATGGAAATGCAAAGGGTCAAGAATGGCCAGAGCTGTCTTGAGGAAGAACGAAGCTGGAACACTTCCACTGTAGACTCTGAGGCCTGTTATAAGTGTCCTTAGTGCAACACTGAAGAACCTTACTGAACACACCTCTCTAGTTTGTATATCTTTCAATTTCATCCAGAGAGACCTTACACAAGGTCTCAATTCTGACGACCATATCAAATAACTCCTCAATTCTGAAGTCTTTGTTGACCTCCCCCAGCGTCCTGCCTTTGAGCCACTGCTGTACATTTTTACAGAGTTTTTACACTAGTCACATCGAGTTAAAATGATCTGTTTACATGTCTGCCCCACGGATTTTGAGTAGGGCAGAGGCTGTACATCACTACTGTATCTCCTGGACCTCGTGCAGTGCCTGACATATTGTAGGTGCTCAATAACAAATATATTGGATTTTTGAGTGAACTTTAACAACAGAAGGCCAGGAGATACTGTTCTAAGCCAAGGAGCTAGCTTGGACCAGGTAATAAAGGCAGGATGCATGTAGTATTGATGAGGTTCAAGTTGATGTATAGAGTCCGTGAGGGGAACAGCAGGATGGAGATGAGAGGGAGATGAAGCTGGAAGACCTTGAATTTGGAAGGTTCAGCTCAGTAGGTAGCCAGTTAGAATTTAGGAGTTAGAGGTAGAAATCTGGGCATCATCACATAATGATAGTAAGAGAAGCCAGAGGTGTGGATTAGATGACCCAAAGACTATACTAAAAGAGAAGAAGAGGACATAGGATGAGAAGGGGCAAGGGAAGAGATGGGGAACAAAAGTTCAGGCAGATGGACAAAGATGAGACAAAGATCACGTCACTCCTTTCCTTCCTTCCTTCCTCCCTTCCTCCCTTCCTTCTTCCTTCCTTCCTTCCTTCCTATAAATACAAAGAGGTAAAGATGCCCCAAGTAGCGCCATTCTAAGAAGAAAAGGAAATATCTCAGGTAGTTTTACAATAATCTTCAAGTTTCTAATCCAAGAGTTGGCTGCACTGGGACCAGATTAACCCTGTTATAACTTCTCTGTGTGCCTCAGAACAGAGACTTGAGGAAGTCAGTTTCTGGAAGAAGGAGTTGGATGACAAACTTGAGCAGCTTGTATATGCAACTGAAGATCTGCTCGCATATCAGACCAGATTGGAGAAAGCCCTGGAGAGCTTTAAAGAGCCCTTGCACATCACTGAGAAGTGCCTGGAATACAGGTAAGAGGGAAGGTTCCTCTAATGAATCATCCGTTGTGAGAAATGAAATGCTGGGTGGAAAAAGCTGACTGTGCTAGGTGGTGGATTAGAATGAGGCAAAGGAGCATGTGTTCTTTCAGAGCCTGCAATTACCTCACCATGCCCGTGGTGCTGGACCGTGCAAGGAGCACTGGGCTTGGTTCATTTCCAAACTCCACTCTTGACTAACTTAACTTAAATAAAAGTTAGGACTAGGTTTGGGTGTGGGTATCAGAAACTGGCAAATAACATTGAACTTAAATGAGGTAGTTTCTTTGTCTCTCACATTTAAGGAGTCTGGGATAATTCAGGGTTGGCACAGTTTGCCACAGTGGTCAGGCTTCCAGACCTTTTCTATCTTGTTGCCCTGCTGCACATGGCTTTCACTCCCAAGGTTACCTCATGTTTCAAGATGGCAGCTGTAGCTCCAGCCATTATGTCTACCTTCCAACAAGGAGGGATAATTAGGGTTTGGCATTCAAATTTCTATTTGCATCCCATTGACCAGAGTTTAGTCACAAGGCCACATTAATAGATACCAGGAAATGGTGGTCTTTATTTGGGGCAGGCAGAGCAGATACAGTTACTAGAGGACAAGTCTGCTCCCATACACAGAGCCACACGGAAGCACTTTGTAATCCAGAGAGCACTGTGCAAATGTACCTTTTTATTGTAATTTCCCTCTTGCAAGTCCTGTGAGTAGAATGATCCTCTCTGCTCTGGAGTGATACTGATTTCCAGACCTAAAACCTGCTGCAGCCCTGGCCGGAGCTCCCTAACAGGTCTTTTCACTGCCAGCGTAGCCCCTTCCCATCAAGTGCATCCCCCGTACTGGCTTTGAGTGAACCTTCCCAAATGCAGATTTTCACAGGTCACTCCCATGCTTCAAATCCTTTCATTAACCCTATGCCCTAATACCTTCAAGATAAAGTTCAAACTTCTTAGCTTCGAAAATGAGGTTCATCATGGATGGGCCCCCAGTGACCCTTCCAAGCCAGTATCTCTTCCCAACAGTGGGATGTGCTTTAGATATGCTGAGCTACTTCAGTTTCCCAAACGCACCATGGCTCTGTCCACACAGTTCCTCCCTCCTGGAAAGCCCTGTGCCCTCAGGGAGCTTAGCCAGGACCCTCTGCAGCACCTAGGCAGCCATCCCACAGCCAGATTTAGAGAGTTTGTGAAGCAAAGAGAAGTAGCAGGTGCTCAAAGAGGCCCACATCTGGTTGGCTCAAGTCCACACCTAAGGGAGATTAGGATGTAGAGGTTGCTAAGTGGATTGAGTACGTGCTGCTCTGTGCCAGGTACCATGCTGTCTGCTTTCACATCTCCGTCGTTCCTTGCCACAGCCCTAGGAAGTACTAATAGATATCCCCATTTCACAGAAGAGGAAACAGAGGCACAGATAAGTTAGACAACGTGCCTGAGGTCACACAGCTGGTGAGTGGTGGAGCCTTCCTCCCCGGCACTACCACGCAGGTGGGAAAGAATGAAGTGTCAGCCAGTGACCGGTCAGTTCTGGGAGCAGGTGTTTAGAAGCGTGTGTAATGCCCAGTTCTGTGACATTGGCTAAGTTACTTAACCTCTCCGAAGCTCAGTTTCCTCACCTGCACTTGAAAGGTTACGTAAGGATGAGTATTCCTGTGAAAAGCTCAGCACGATGCTGGTCACATAGTGAGTGCTCAGTGGTGGGGTGATATTAATGGTGGCATTACTATTGTTCATTATTATTATTATTATTATAAAGCGTCTTTCTGGATTAGTCCTTGTCAAAAAAACAGGACTAAGATCAAGGAGGAAATAGATGTCTTTAAAATTCTAAGTTAAAGACAATGTTTCCACTAAACAGTAAGAAGGAAAAGGCTTCAGGACTGATGGCCACATTGAGGCCAAGTCCAGCTGGCATTTTTCAAACCAAGTGACCAGTCACCGATTAATTTTCCTCCGTCGTGTTTTGGCTATTTTGAAGTTGCATACACACCAACTGCACGTACATCTCCATCATGTCGTCTAGATGGATCGGGTGCTACTCAACCCAACTGTCCAGATAGTTTTAAAAGTTAGCAAATAGCAAGTAGCCTTGCTTCACGGGGGCTGACAGCCCGCCATTCCCTCCATCAGGGAGAAGCGAGTTGGCATCGACTTGGTCCACGATGAAGTGGAACAGGAGCTGATCAAGGAGGCCGAGATCATCCGGGGGGTGATGGCCCTGCTGACCCGCACCCTGGAGGAGACGTCCGAGCAGATCAGGTGTGGCTGTCCGGGGCCTGCCCTCACATCTGCACTGGGAGTATCTAGAAAAGGCGGTGCCCACCAAGGCTGTGCTCCATGAAACCCCAGAACGAATGGGGTTTCATGTCCCAGAAGCCCTTTCCATGCCCCATGGTGGCCCAGGAACACCCAGAGTAAGAACTGGACCACCTCTCATGCGTGACAGTCGCCCTCTGGTGGTATGTTTCACTCTGATTATAAAGCCATTTGCTGGCCGGGAGCTGACTTCTCACAAACAGGATGCTAGGACATCAGAAAATGGTCACAGTTGGAGGGAAGAACATTGGGGGGGGGATTAGGTTTTTTGTTTTTGTTTTTGTTTTTTTTTTTAGAGGAGGTACTGGGGATTGAACCCAGGACTTTGTGTTTGCTAAACATGCGCTCTACCACTTGAGCTATACCCTCACCCCGGAGGGAAGATATTGAAGTCCAGGCTTGGATATGTTACTTTGTCACGAAGTGTCTAATAGGGTGTGTGTGTGTGTGTGTGTGTGTGTGTGTCTGGGGGATGGGAAGGCAGAGGAAGTGCCACCATCCTGCACTAGACCCCACTTTAGCTTCATTTTCCAGGGTCTCCCAAGAACTCGGCATAGGTACCACCTGGGCCTTTCCGAGGGAGAAACCGAGTTTACCTTCTCCCTTTAGGCTGAACCGCTCCTCCAAGTACAATCTTGAAAAAGATTTGAAGGACAAGTTTATGGCCCTGACCATTGATGATGTCTGCTTCTCCCTCAACAACAACTCGCCAAACATCAAATATTCTGAGAACGGCGTGAGGGTTGAGCCAAAGTGAGTGGGTCGCTGCTGGCCCAGCCATGCTGTCCTCCTCCCTGCTGTGTGACGTCCCAGGGCTTCGCGGACAGGCGGGCAGGACCTCACACATCATCCTGACCGCAGGCTGAGAGCCAGGAAGAGGCAGGCCTGGGGCAAAGGCAGGCGCTGAGCAGGGACTACCCTGACCCAGGGCCCAGAGGCTCCTCGGTCCTCCAGGTTGGGCCCCACTTTAAGAAAGTCTGATATAAAATCTCTAAACCTCTGGGATTTGTTCATTTACATATTTTCATTTTTAACAAGTAAAAGAATTTAAAAACATATAAAGGGCAAGGTGATAATTTCCCCTTATCTACTCCTTTCCATTATTACACCCCCTGAGATAACCAGTGTTATCTGTATGTTCATACAAACATGTATATACTCATGTACACAAATAAATTTTGTTTCTTTACAAAAACGGGATTATATCACATACCTTTTCTGTAACATCTAACTTACATTTTTAAGTAACATTACATCACAAACCTAACTCATCATAATTTCTAAAACATTCTTTTTGAACTAAGGAATATAGATAGAAAAGCACACAAATAATAATAAATGTGGTTTAATGAATTATTGTTTTCACTGTCTTTTGCTGTATTAACAAGTTACCCTCAAACTTAGCAGCTTAGAAGCAATAAACGTGTGTTATCTCCCAGCTTCGGTGGGTCAGGAACCCAGGCACTGCTCAGCTGGATGCCTCTGGCTCACGTCTATAGTCAAACTGTCTGCTGGGGCTGCAGTCTCACCGGAAAGCTGGGCTAGAGTGGGGTGGGGGATCCACTTCCAAGCTGACTCATGTGATTATGACGTCTTGCCACCTGAGCCTCTCCACGAGGCTGACCCATGACAAGGCAGCTGGCTTCTTCTGCAGTGAGTGATTCAGAAGAATGCAAAACAGAGAGGGCACCCGAGATACAATCCACAGTCTTCTTTCAGCCTAAGCCCAGAAATGACCTCTCAGCACGTCTGTCTGTGAGAAATGAGCCAATGAGGTCCTCCCACACTTCAAGGAGAGGGGACACTACAAAGGTGAATTCCAGGAGACACAGGGGTCACTGGGGACCGTCTGAGAGGCTGCCACTAGCCACACAGCAAGCAATCTCCATGTAACCACCAACCAGATCAAAAAACAAAACATTACCACCAACACAGAAACCTGCACCCTGTCCCCTCTTGATCAGTGTCCTCTCCCTCCTCATCAAAGATAACCACAATCCTGACTTCCAATAGGGTTGTTTTTTCCTGCTTTGCATGTATTAAACAGCATCTTAAACTATGTATTTTATGTGTCAGTTTCCTTCCAATCAACCTTATTTTGAGATTCCTCTCTGTGATAGAAAGCAGTTCCTTGTCAAACTAGCAGTTTATTCATTTATTTATAGCTTTTCAGTATAGACTCCTGTTTTCCTAGTTTATTCAGTGTGTTATCATCTGTGACTTTAATAATTTATTTTGATACTTAAATTGGCCCTCCCTGTGTGATCGTGACCACGTTACTCCACCTTTCTGAGCCTCAGTTCTCGTCATCTGTCAAATGGGGGTATGAAAATTAGCTCACTCGGCCATGGTGAGGGTTAAATGAGATGATGTCTGTAAAGGGCCAGTCCAGTGCCTGGCCCAGAGCACATGAGTTTCCCCAATGTGGCAGCTATCACCGCTGACGGACAACCATTCAGTCTCCCTAGAGATGGGGAAATCTAGGTGCTCCTGAAGACAGGGGGAGGCCTAGCTTCTCAGGGGCTTCCAGTAGCTTGTCCCTTCCCCACACCCCCACCTGTAGTCCAAATATGTGGTGAATGAATGCATGGGTTCTGTTTCAGTTCTGTGAGTCTGGAGGACTGGCTGGACTTCTCCAACACCAACGTGGAGAAGGCAGACAAGCAGAGGAACAACTCCCTGAGGCTGAAGGCCCTGGTGGACCGCATCTTGTCCCAGACTGCCAGCGACCTGCGCCGGCAGTGTGACGTGGTGGACACGGCGTTCAAGAACGGGCTGAAGGAGACCAAGGATGCCAGGGACAAGCTGGCTGTTCATCTGGCCAAGGTGAGCTCCCTGGAGGGGACAGGGAAGAGCACATTTGGAAGGTTTCACCCTGAAACCTAGGATGGCCTCTGAGCGCATCATCTCGCGTTAACTGAGGAGTAAAGGCCATTCACCTCTCTCCGTCTCAGCAGTGGGCTTCGGGCTTTGGGGGGCTGCAGCGGGACTTGGCCCCACTCCGGGCCTCCTTTGTCACTCACTGCTGCAAAGAACAGGCTGTCTCCTCACTCTGGGCCTTAGCTCCTCCTTCTGTGGAATATCTTAGACATTTATAGACTCCTGTTAGATTGTTCTCCTGATGTTTACCTTTTAATTCTCCATCACCTTTCAGATTAATCACTCCCAGTCGAAGGGTAGTTAGAAGTTCTTAATTGTGTAGTTAAGTGGATTTTGAAGTATGGAAATTTCCTTTGCACTTGCTTTGGGGTCCAAAAAAACACTTCTGGAACTTGGAAAATATTTCTTCTGCAAACGTGCATGGGAATGGAGGTCTGGCTTCGTGTCTTAACGTTTGGCAGCGTAGGAAGCGAATAAAGCAGCTTGATAATACTTGTGATTCAAATCATGCTAGTTGTTGAAATGTCTTTTCCACAGTAAGCATATGAAAGCACTGTCTTGCCTTGTGATTTTAAGTTGACTCATTAAGAAATATTTTTAAGCGTGCAGCAAAAGCTCATCTCCAAAGCCCCTCAGTGTTTGATAAAATTGGGTGAGAGTGGTTATTTTCGTTCAGAAAAATTTCAATCTTGGCCCCAAGCTAAAAGAAATCACAAGAAAATTTTACCACTACTAAACCAATATGCTGCGGAGCAGTCGGGCCAGCCAGGATAATCAGCTTGCATTTCTGAACATCTTCTGTATGAGACTGTAATGGTGGACACGTGACATTATATGTTGGTCAAAACCCGTAGAATGTACAATGCAAAGAGTGAACCCTAATGTAAACAATGGACTTTAGTTAATAAATAATGTGTCATTGTTGGTTCATCAGCTGTAACAAACACACCACACTAATACAAGAGGTTAATAATAGGGGAAACTGTGTGTGGGAGGAGATAGGGTATATGTGAACGCTATACTTCCTGCTCACTTTTGCTGTAAATCTAAAACTTCTTTTAAAACTAAAATCTATTACTTAAAAAAAAATTCTTGTTTCACAGTTTATACAAAAACAGGGAGCAGACTGGATTCGGCCCCCAGGCCATCGTTTGCTGATTCCTGATCTAACCCACAGTATCAGTAATTTTGTTTTAAAGAATCTGTGTATTTTGGAATTTAAGTATTTGTAAAATGTAAGAGAATTTAGTCTGATGTTTTTAAACTATGACTTAAAATACGTAATTAAATAGTTAATCCAGCCTTATGATGTTAAGTTGAAATTTTAAATTTGAAGTCATTGTTAGAATAGTGGAGAACTTAAGATTAATTCTTTTTACTAATTTACTAGATTGGCAAGATCTTTTAAGAACTCCGGAAGGCCTTGTTTAAGACAATTCAAGTATTTATAAAAGTTATATATCACATTTATAAATTCTGCTTTACACAAATGTTCAAACACAAACTAAGTTTGAAGTGGGAGCAACTATTACTCATATCAATTTAAAGTGATTGTTAACATTTGCTAAATTTAAAAATAGTATCATGTCTATGAACTGAACTTAAGAAAAGTATAAGAAATGTTAAGAAAATGTTAAAGAAAACCAGATGTAATGTGTGGACCTTGTTTGGCTTCTAATTTGAACAAACCAACTCTTACTAAAAATATATGAGACGATCAGGGAAATTTGAACACTAGGTTATTAGGTGATAACAAAGAATCTTTCTTTTGTTTGTGTGTGTGATTAAAGTATTGCATTTATGTTTAAAAAGAGTCCTTATGTCTTAGAAACACAAACTCAAGTATTTAAGACTGAAATAATATCTGGGATTTACTTCAAAATAATTAAGCTAATGGCAGGGGTGGAGAGAGAGTATTATAGATAAAACAAGATTGGCCTGTATTGATCATTGCTTAAATTGATGGTGAGCCCATGAAGTTCATTATACTATCTGCGTTCACATATGTTTGGACATTCCTATGATGCAAAGCTTAAAAAGAGGGGAAAAAAGCTTACAGAAGAAATAAAATTTTAAACTAAATATTAACCTAAAAACCCGAGTAACTCCTGAGTAATCTTTTCTGTGCACAAAGCTGCCGGCAAAGAAACCAACAAAACTCAGATTAAACTGCTCACTCTTTCTTCAGGCCTCTAGGGGGCAGAACTGGTAATAGCAGGTGGATTGATAAGGAAATGGGCAGCTTTCTGCCCATGATACAAAGGTACTTTGTGCCAAGGTAAGTGGGCAGCCTCCAGCCTTTGCTGAGAGCCTTCTCCAGGGAACCCAGACATTTGGGAAGGAGATGAGGCAACAATGGCCACTCATGCCCATTCCATCCGTGAGGTTCTGAGGTGGGGTGAGTTACCTTGCCCACCAGCAATCACCGCTACAGGGAAGAATTCTGGGGCCCCGCTTGGAGGTCCCCTCTCCCCAACCTTCTAAGACTGTCTGCTGTTGAGTTTTGAGGAACACAGCCTGGCCTCACCTACTCTAATCCTCTTTGAAAGGTCATGGAAGAGATTGCCTCCCAGGAGAAAAACATTACAGTTCTGGAAAAAGCCATCCTCGACCAAGAAGGGCCCGCCAAGGTGGCTCACACACGCCTGGAGACCAGGACACATCGGCCTAACGTGGAGCTGTGTCGCGATGTGGCACAGTACCGACTGATCCAGGAGATTGGCGAGATCACCCACAACGTTGCGAGGTAGGCAAAGGGTTCCTGGGGCCCCATTTAAACCCAGATCGTGAGCAGGGCGGGGCAACGTCAGCGTGGGTGAAGGCGGCCGCGCGCCAGGGCCTTTGCATCTATAACGTTTGAGGGGCTCTTCCTAGAGGGCAGTCTCTCCTAACTCCAGCCAATTGCAGGGAATGGATCCCAGAGTTTAAATGTTTCCAAAGTCCAAATCCAGATGCTCAGGTAAAATCTTTAAACATTGGCAGTTCATGGGTTTGTCTGCCTTGTGTATCTGGCCTGCGGCCACCAATTTGAAATCTCTGTCTTAAGGAGGAGACGGGGGAAGACACATCAATTTGGAGTCTGCACTGCAGAAGGGAATATATACCTCTTTCCTCTGAAATAGTGACGTGGAGGGATAAATTATTCCTTTACATTCTCCCTCTTGTCCTAGATTAAAGAAAACCTTAGCCCAAGCTCAAGCAGAGCTGAAAGGCCTGAATTGCAGGCAGCTCGCCCTGCAGGAGCAGATCCAGGTCAAAGAGAACACCATCTACATCGATGAGGTGCTGTGTATGCACATGAGGAAGTCCATCCCCCTGCGGGACGGCGACGACCATGGGGAGTGGGCCCGGGGCCTCTGGTCCGATGCCGTCTGCTGAGAGGAGGCTTCTCGTTAAGCCATTCTTAATAAACCATGTCATAAAACAGTAGTACGGAACTCTCATTTCAGCTGGTGTGGTGGTTGTTTAAGGGTCCAATTCCCTGTATTTGCACAGGCCATTCTTATGAGATCACAGGACTTGAGGCCTGGGGGAGGGGTCCAAGACATTTTCATTTAGATTTATTTCAGTTCAGGGGTTGGGCTGGATCCCCTATTCAGACCACGCCCGGCTTCCTCATGAGAGGACATGCAAACATTGCTCCTGGCTCTCAAGATTTCTCTTCCCTAGAAAATAGTGCGGTGATTGCTGCCTTAGACCCCTGCCTGGTCTACAGGAAGCACGTGCAGGTCATACAGAACTTAGATGAGAGAGGAGCAGCCCTGGGTCAGGAGTCCCCTGAGGTCTTCCCAGCACCTGTAGGCATCTCTCTGGGCCCTCTCCTGGGTGAAACTAAGACAGGCTGGGACCTGGGACCCTTTACTGCAGTGCTTGCACCTGGACAAACACCTCCTCGAGCAACAGAATACAAAGAAACTATAAGGGACTAAAAATAACGGGACACATGCCCAGTCAGGGCAGTTATGAACAAGAAGATACAAAAAGGCCACAGACCAACTGCCATTTCTGAGGTGCCGGGAGCAAAAACAGGACTGCCCATGATCCCTGCACACAGCACCACCGAGGGGGTGAGCAGACCACCTAAGCCACCCTCTGGGCCTCGCCCACAGACTTGCCCCTGTTTTTACCCCATTTAAGGAACCAGCTTGCCCCTCCCCAAGCAAGGGCACCTGTTACTTGTTTTCACTCCCTCGTGCTGCAGCCTGCCTTTCTCACCTGGCCTCTTAGCAATTTCTATTGATTAAAAAGTCCAATAACCTGGGTGGGTAACAAGTTGATGAGGAAGGAGAAGCCCCAAGGGCCCTCCAGCTCCTAGGAGGTCAATCCTAGTGGGAGGGGTTGAGGAGCAGGGGAACCAGGTTGCTGTTTTCTGGGGTCATGGTGTGACAAAGTCACGCGTGCACGTGCGTACACGCACACGCACACTCAGCTTGAGGGGACTGGAGGAAAGCTGACTGCTGGGCCTACATCCTTCCTTGCGTCTTTTTTGTAGGCGCAGCCAGGACTGCTGGGGACAACTAACCTTTGACGAGTCCCCCAGCACAGGTCCTCAGAAGAGGGACTCAGTGATTGCCCGGTAAACGCAGCTATGAGGGAATTAGTTGAAGCAGCACTTCTCAATTCTCAAACCTGGCTACATATTAGAATCACTAGGGGAGCTTTAAAAACTATCCTGATGGCTGAGGCTCACTTCCAGAGATGCTGACTCCATTGCTGTGGGACAGGGGAGGGGAAGGGACTAGGATGTCGACATTTAAAAAAAAAACAAAAAAACAAAAAAACAAAAAAAACAAAAAACACTGGAAGTGATTCCAGTTGCAGAAAGCACTGGACTAGCTGGCCAGATAAGGTGGGGGTTCTCAACCTTGGCTGCACATTGAAATCCCCAGGAAGCTGGGGGGAGGGTACAGCTCAAGTGGCAGAGCCCATGCTTAGCATGCACAAGGTCCTGGGTTCAATCCCCAGTACCTCCATTAAAAAATAAATAAGTAAACCTAATTACCTCCCCCTTGCCAAACTAAAATAATTAAATAAATAAATAAAATATTTTTTAAAAACACTCAGAGAGCTTAAAAAAAAAGATCTCCAACCTAACGATTCTGATTAAATTATGTAATTGGTCTGCCTGGGTATTAGGAGCTTTTAAAGCTTACAGGTGTTTCTAATGTGTAGAACCGTTAGGACAGAGTTGAGAACTATTAGGATAAGAGAATGAATGAGCGAGGAAATGAGGAAATGGGCGAAGACATCAGTATAGCTGTTTTTTATAATTTCAATGGAATACAATCTGAAAATACTGAATCACTATGTTGGAACCTGAGACTAATATAATATTGTAAATTAATTATACTTTAATAAAAAATAAATGAATGAGTGCATGAAGGAATCTACAGTCCTACACATCACTCAGAGGACCCTGTGAGAGGGTGTGCACGTGTTTGTGTGTGTGTGCGTGATACGTGTGTTTAGTTGCAGGGACGAGGCTTACCCACGTCATTTTAGCATTGTAAGGCTCACATGACTAGCCAATCTGCTTAATCATAGGGTTTAATCAGTAACTACCTGTGCGCTTGCCCCCTGCCCCAGCCGCCGGTTTCCCTGGTAACTAATGAGCCAATCTGACATCAACTCCTGCTAGAAATGGTAGCCTCCTCCTCCCCTGAGTAACCAAGCTTGTTTCCACATCCTGCTTGCTGTCCACTGTCCATGGTGTGCTGTCGCTCCAGGCATTCACTTTGGACTCGTAAGAATCTCTACCCAATAAATCATTGATGTCTTTCTTTGGGCTCGTGGCTGGGCAATTCTGAGGCCTGCAGACCTGCAGGGTTTAGCCGACAGAGGCCTGTAGAGAGAAAGGAACTCATGTTTTTGGAGGGTCCACTCTGTAGCAGGCATTGGTCTAAATGCCCTAAATGTATTTCCTTGTTGAATCCTCACAACCACCCTGGGCGGATAGATCCATGATGGACCCTGTTTATAGGCATAGAGTCAAGATTCCCAGACGACTTGCCTGCAGTCACACAGGAGTCAATGGTAGAAACTGGACCAGACCCAGGTCTCCAGAAGCCAGGGCCATTCCCAAGTCCCACAGAAGTGAATGGCTCCATCTGCCCCTGGAGCCCCTTGGCCTGACCACCATTCATCCCCAGAGCCTGTCGGGCATCTAATTGCAGCTTAGCTAATAGACATCCCTGGGGGTGTGGGGCAGTCCTGTCCAGGCTTAGTGGGAGTGAGAAAGACCACATAGGGAAAGGTCCCAGGACCCAGTCAGTGGAGGTCTTGGTCCCAAAGAGCTTGCCAGGGGATCATTCTAAGGACAGGAATGTTGGCTGGACAGATGCTAAAGAATGTCTGCTGGACCAAAGGAGCCCAGAGGCCAGGCTGAGGATGGGGCAGGAGATGGGGCCAGTATAGACACACAAGGTTCCCAATTGCCTTTTATTAGGAAGGAAGTACCGACCTTTATTCTGACGTTACAACCTTCCCACAATCATGTTCACAGAAAGTGAAATCAAATTATATTATGAAATGGGAACAGATGGTAATTGTGATTTGTCCCAACCCTTGGCAAAATAAAAAATTGACCACTCTATACTAGTATATCCAGTTTGTTGTTTGGTTAGTTGGTTATTAAGAAATTAGAAAACCTAGAAACTGAAGTTTTCTCTGGGGGGTTGGGGGTGGAAGCCAGCTTGTAGTGGGCTGAGGGGGAAAATAAGAGGCAAGGCAGAGGAGACAGCAGGTGTACATCTTTTGTAGATCAGTGCTTGTTCTAAGATTGGTGGCAGCAGCATCACCTGGGAGTCAGGAAAGCAAAGTCCTGGTCCCTACCCCAGACCTACAAAGTCAGAATCTCGAGGAAAGGAAAGTGGTTGGAGAGATAAATGGGATTAAAGGATGGTTTCTGTGGTCGTTGTTGTAATGTAGAAAACACTTGAGCTTTTTTCTAACAACTTTTTATTGAAATGCAACATACCTCCAGAAAAACACACGTGTCACAAATGTACAACAGTTGGGTGCACTTCCCTGTTGAGGAAGCCACGTAACTAACCTCAGACTGGGAAGCAGAACACCAGCAGCCCTCTCATGCCGCCTTCTTTCTGACGTATAATGACAGAGACGAGTTTCACCTCTTCTTGGACTTGATATAAGTGGAAGCAAATAGGATGTGGTCTTTCCTTCCTGGCTTCTTTCACTCCCCGTGCGTTTGCAAGATCCACCTACGTTGTTGCATCTGCCTGTAGAGCCCTCGTTCTCACCGCGGCGAAGCAGTCCACCGCGACGACACCACTTACTACTGAGTGTGGGCTTCCCAATACGGGGCTGTTGCAATCAGTGCAGCTATGAACATTCAAGTCCATGCCTGTTGTGAGCATACCTAGAACCTAGGAGAGGAATTTCTGAAGACTCGATCCTGTTTAAATGCTGTTAAGAGAGAATCAGCAGAAAAGACACGAAGCTAACAGGAGAGAAGGGGTCAGTGAGAGAAAGAGGTCCCTGGGGAGGCGGGAGGCAAGAGATGCGAGGGGTGGGGGCCAGAACCAGAGGCAGGGAATGGTTTTTCCATTGCAACAGGTGGAGCGGTGTGGAAGGCGGATTTGTAGCTGGGGGTGTGCACGGGGGCTCCTTGTGTCTGTCTTTCCTACATGAAGTAGGACAGATGGTGTGCTGAGAGTGCATGGTGGAGATTTCAGGGTCTGAAGCAGGGGAGATGGAGGTTTGAAGTGGTCATGGTAGAGCGTGGTCAGCAGACAGATGACTAAAGAACAAACGAGACTGCAGCACTCTTTGGCGCTATACGATTTTGCCACAGAACAGCTCCTTGATGTGAACCCC